CCAACTTTCAAGTCAGCAAGTTCTCTGCGGCGAGACCGCCCTCCTAGGGTGTCAAAGCACATGAAAGCACTTGAAAGCACTTGAAAGAATACATGAGAGTCCTAGTTAGATTGCACCCTTCAAACCAGAGCACACCCAGTACGTACGTGGACGTCATACTGCATGAAGGGAGCTAGCTCCACCTGTTACCGCCAACTTGGGTCCGATTTTGTAATGACCAAGTCGATGTGGTTTCAGTCCGTCAGCCAATACATCTTCAACAAATGAAAGGGCAGAGAGCGAAAAACCTGATGTGGCGTTGCCTTAGCGCCATTAAGATGTTCACGGGGTCAAGTCATTGCCCCGCCGGCAAAGATCAATTTGACTCCTCGACTCCTGGAGGATGGCAACTCGTAGGAAGGCCAACAGCACCAGATCGAAGGACCATATGAAAAGCAGTCATGTCTGTTATGTAGATATGCACCAACCGGCGGATTGTAACGAAACTCAAGAAAAGCAACACACCAAGAAGGGTCCACTTGCAGGATGTAGCCGTCACGCCGTTTTCCAAAGCAGAGAGTTCTGTGTTTGACCACTCTGTAACCTGTCGGAACGTCGCAGCTTCTTAAAACGAAGCAGCCTAGACAAATAGATAGGGAGAAACCGGTGCTGATCATCGTACTAATATACGCACGAGAGATGACAAGGCCTTGCATGTAACTGACGTGACAATGGCTCTGTGCCCGAGACAGACAGACCTATGAGCTTCCAAAGGAAGGCCCGTGGGTCCTCGTCATCGCCTCTGTAAGAAAGTTGGCAGTAGCCCGTCAAGATTCTGACCGCTTGGATAAGATTGCCCTACGGTAATCATTCTAGAAGCACAGGAAACGTGCCAAGGAAGTATGACAAAATAATTTGGGTCACTAGGCCAACAAAAGTGCTTTCCTGCCACCCGTTAAAAACATGGGCAGCAGTGGACTGTAACCACTTACCAAGAACTTTACCGTTAACAGCTTCTATTACTGGACGGAAGAGAGCATTTGCAAGTATTAAATCTGACAACGAGAACCGATCAAACGTTCATGGTTCTCGTTATGCCTGCATGGCCTCGGAAGCGCGGCTTTGGAACGTAAGCTGAAGGCTATTCGTATACGTTAGCATGACGCTACGTCGTTGTGTTGATTCTGCCAAAAGGTCAACGCGGCAGCCGATCTTACAGCCTCAAAGGAAACCCGAAGACGAGTAACATCATCTCCTTGACTGGAGTGGAGGCAAACTGAGGCTTCGGAGTCACTCATCGATATCTTTCGCAACAAGAAAGCGCGAGCAGCGTGGTCTCGTCATTGCCATCCTGGAGAGAAGACGTGTGCGCGACAATGGGCTTGTAACGCGTATTCAAGCGACAGTACGAAACAGATCGAAGGAATACACGATTCGGGCCGGGCCTTAATGGCACAATCAGTCCATAGGCCTGAGCAAGTTGAAAGTCAGGGTCGTATAACCGACGGGCCCTGACCAGCCCAAAATCTGCTCACACAATGACCGCCGGATGTACTGCTGGCGAGAAGAAGAAGTTCAGCGAATGCGCACCAGCAAAGGGAAACGGGCACCCAAAAGTGATCACATCAGAAGGTGCACGGATCAAAGGGAGATACGTCCTGGTCAGGTTAAGCCGCCCGTCGAGACGCAAACGCAGCCTCGTCACCATCTTTCGACCGGACACTGGAGCTTGCAAAAGGTGCTGAGATTCTGGTAAGACAAGATTGAAAAATCGTGGCGGATAGACCAGGGTTCGACCAAGGATCTGGGTGGTTCCAGCCTTGCGTCAAGAATTTTTGATCCGCAGACCCTGTACACATTTGAAAGGCAGCAAAAGTTACCCCGGATTACTGCTTGATGCATCAAACGCTGTCATGTTGCTCGGTGAGTTTTCTGAAAGCGGGCCTTCCAGTTTAATCACAAAAGGTTCTCGATCTTTCCAGCTCAACTGGTAATTTGAGCACGCTCGGTCGTCATTGTCGTCTGAACTGCACGGTGAAGCCCGAGAGGAAGAACCGGACTGACTCAAGTTCACTCTACTTACCGTCGGCCTGATTTCAACGAGCGAGCTTGAACTAGAAACATGTGTACATATGTCCGACGCGGCTAGTATGGCGGCATCTGATCTTGCACACGCTGGAATCCGTGCTTGAGCCTTCTCCATGAAGAGCTCGAGCATAACCTCGTCATCACCGCATCAACTTCAACGTCAGAATTATTAAAAGCCTCGGTCTCTCCACTACCGCTTCCCTCCCTTTTACAAAGAAGGTAGTATGAGCCACTGTGAGGTGCATGTGGTGAACGTGCATGCGGGGCTCTGCACGCCCACCAATCAAATCTGTCCTTCAACATTAAAGGGTTTACTGTTGGACTGAAACAAGGGTAACGCGACTACGAATCCTCTGGACGTTTGAATATCGGATCATAATAAAGCGAGCATGCACGCCTCGCTGATTCCCTCAAACGCAGTCTCCGCTCGATAAGCAAATGGCAAATGAGACGCCCGTCAGGCGGTTGTATATCGAGATTAACCCTCTTAGTGGTCCTTGGAAAGTGACAGCACGTGGGCGTTCCATGGTTTCAAATAAACTAGGCTACTCACAGACGTGCATGCAAGTAAATGAAAGAATATTTTAGCGCACTTCTTCATATCCAATTATCTTCGGAACGTCTTATATGAAGACGTATATGAGCACTTAAAGTGTTGACAACCACGCTCCTTGGACCCGACCTAGCTATAGCGCGGCGAAATCATGCGGTGAAGCAAGGCTTCACATCTGACCAAAAAATTGTTGACACCGTCGGGTGAATGTCAATCGAGTTAGAAAAGATTATCGAACGTATGACCTCGAGCCCAAACACAAAAGAAGAAGAAATACTTTCCTAAATTAACTGTAAACTGATCAAAACTTTGAAAACGCGGCGCTCCTGCCTTCCATGGCAGTGCTGCCAAGATTTTGGGACATACTTACTAAAACGGAAATACGAGCACCATGCATTTTGAAAAACAGTCTTTCTATGATTAACTTCGATATCCTTGTTAAAGGGCATCTTTCAGCCTGCCATAGTTCAACTTATATCGATATGTATTTTCCAAGAATCCTATCGATCCAGAATTTCGAAAAGATTTGATTGTAGATAGTAGGCGCTCAGTCAAACAAATCTCTTCATTCAGAGCCCATGTCCGTTTTCATCGTGACCAAATTTGCGAGAGCGAGTGCGAATGGAGCCCTTCTAGAGCGGCCAGAAATCGAAACGGGACTTCGAAGTAAAGGAGCTCCAGATGATCAAATAGTCTTCCCACTTGTGCATGAAGATCACCGTAAAACGGGAGGCCGGTATCGCGCTTCTACCCGACTGAGCGTCATTGGTCAGCAGATGAACCAATTCAACATGCAAGAAAATCTTCAAAGACGCCTCACTAGGAAGCGCAGCATGAGCTGACCGTCAGCTAACTCATGCTTCAAGTCTCGGACTTGAAGCCGGCAGGCACTCAATGTGCGAAGTCTGAGACGGTCCAGACGATCTGAAGAGCAGCTCTAGCAGGATTGCAACTTTGAGGGGAAACGTCTACAGACATTAGCCTGAGCATGTATTGTTATATTAGATCAAGCGTTGGCGGGCACACCGACATGGCAGCGGCTCTGATACCATCTCAATCAACTCCTTGGATCTCGTCGGGGAAGCCAAGCAAAGTCCTTTCATTGCCTTTGTCCCACGGATGGTAAGGACGAAGTCACGTGTTTCCTGTTTTGGCATGCGCGAACTGACTCTTTTAAGGAGCTGACCATTGGATAGTCCAGGCTCCACGAGCTGGCGGGGCCGATATTACGGCTGTGCTCAGCCATATTCTCACCGCCGCTAACACAAACGGCTCGCCCGAGAGAGGATAAGCTGCCAGACTGATGATACCCAACACTGCAGACGTCGGAGGGCGCATTTTCACTTACAGACGTTATATAAAGCCTTTCGTGAACATCTACACATACGAGTGACGAAAAAAGAATGATGCAATTTATGTGGCAGCACTATAGGAGTAAATGCCGTCAGCACCAAGACGCAGTCAAAAACAGTAAGCGTTTACTCATCGTGAGACCAACCGACAAACAAGATTACGTCAGCACAGTGGCAAGGCGGAGACCGCACTCTTTCGTGTTTGAGAAGCACTGGCAAGTAACCGCGAGCAGCGAATGCAGCCCTCTCACCAGGCAAGCCGCAAGCACTGCTTTGCTTGCTCTTGTTCAAAGCACTAAAGCAACTTCGTCTCTCCGACTGCTTCTCTGACGTCAGGTGGTGGTATCTAGGTTATATGGCAGGCCATGATTGAAAAGTAAACGAAGAGAGCGTAGATCGACTGAAACCGGTCTCGCCAATTTGCCATGGCGTCCGGAAAGCCAGCACGCCGACATTAAGAGAGCTGGTCTGGACAAAATTGTACCGAGGTGCGCGCCAAAAAAAGAAAAGCGAGCATTTTGATACACTATGCGAGCAACGGGGTCACCAGACAACTGTCGAAAGAAGACGACTCCCTGGCACTTAGGAATAGCCAGTAGACGTATGGCATCACGAGTGCTTCATCCATTATCCTGATGACGACTAGTATGTGTCATTAGGGCACTCGATCACCGCCTTGATCCGTTGTTTTGGAGGAGATGTTCGTGACAATCCGCTACCATACTTCGGATGAACAATGCTCACTTTTCCTGGTATAGCCGGCGCAACAGAATGCCCAACTGCAAACCAAACTGGTTCCGTTCAGACCTCAACGACAACGCCTCTTCACAACCTACTGAAACAGAGCTTTCCAACACTGGTCCAGATCCGCAAGGAAGATTCGTTGCTCATCCTGGCCCGCTTATGACAATTGCTTGGGACAGGAATGTAAAAAGCTGGGCACACACACTCTGAAGTCGTGAAACGCGCAAGCCAGCATTTGAGCGCAAAAGCACGACCAACAGCCCTCAGCGATGATCAAGCGGAAGCGGGAATACACCACCAGAAAAGTGCACACCACTTGTTTGAAAGTGTACAGTGTGGCCCAAAAACCGTGTCTCATCATTGATCACGCTAGATGACTTTGTGATTGCAAATACAATGTGTAGAGAGCGCCCAAACTCGCTGTGACCCAATTGCAGCCTGAAGCAGAATCCGAACATTCAAGTCTCAACTTTTACAGAGTCTTTCAAATCTGTCCGTTCTGACGGCCGGCCCTCAATCGCTTGGGTCTGCGGTGCATCTGACCGTAGCCGCCTTGTCATATCCTCCACTTGCTTCTGCACCTTTTGCAGCGCGCGCTCTTTCTCTCGGAGCTGCTTCTGGAGCGAGTACACCTGCAAGAGCGAACGAACCAGACCGGCTTCGAAAAAGGACAATTTGTGCGTTACTTCCTAGAGAAACTGGAAAAGTAAAGCTTCAAAGGCGTACTTGTAAAGTAACGTTGTTCCAAATCATGCAAAAAAGACGCTCTCAAAGTGTGCGTTTTGCCTGGCTGACGGGCCACGACAGAGAGGAAGGCACAGAGCGAGATGATACGTTGCATGTGCCCAGGCAATGTGTTCGCCAAAATTGGGATTACGCGTTAGCCACGAGTGCCTGCAAATAGTGACCACGTTATCGTCAAGGCAATGGCTTTGTGCAATCGTCAAGGGCAGAGAATTCTATGCCGTGTCAAGACCAAAGCGAACTTGTCTTGCGCAACACGGTTCAGATGGTCAAGCGCATGCAAAAGCAAAGGAACGCAGCCTTTAGCTCCCGCTGTGAAAGCTCACCACTAACAAGACTCTACTCAAAGGGTTTCATCTAATCATTCAACCAGGAGCGAAAGACAGGCACTGGCCGCATGGATTCAGAAAGTGCTGACAACTGACAGCAGGAGTGTTCATTGCGTATAAAAGAACTATAAGTCCAGTCTATGAAGCGTCGTCAGCATGCACTCACCACATGCTGCCACTTGTCGCAATCGTCGTTGAGGTCGTCGACGTACTCTTGCAGCTCTGCGAAACGTAAGGTTAAATGAAGGTTAAGGTTAAGGTCAAGGTTGCTTTATCAGTAAAGCACTACCTTTCTTGCAGAGAAGTGCAACTCCTTTTGGGGAGGACAACAGAATCGATGCTTGCATTCTCTCCAAATGCCAGGATAAAAGAAAGGGCTGATCACAAGGAAGCAGCGACGTTCGAAGGACAGAGAGAAGGATCCGTCAGAATCAGAACGAAACCATGCATCATGGAAGTGCTGCAGACTGATTGCCATCACAACATGCAGAAAACCACCCAAGGCAAAATATTGGGGGCCAGAGTGCCTACCGTCCTTCAAACCCACTTGTTTAGAAGTCAACAAGTATGGAATTGACACTGCTTTGAGGATCTAGGGTTCCTAGCGTGCTTTCATACATCAAAGATACGGATCGCTGACAGACTGCCTGCGTACCTTTGAAGCCCTGCTTCATCTCCACGTTGAGTTGCTTCTGCAGTGCCAACTTGTTCTCGAGCTCGTGCATCTGCCACAACCAACGGAAATTGAAGTCAGAAAATCAAGCAGCACTAAAGTCCAACGGTGGGGAAGCTGTGAGAAGCTTGATTGGGTCGATATCTTGGAAGGCGGTCAATGTTGTTCAAGCGTGGCAAGCGTGGGTCGCCTACGATTGAAAAGCAAAGGTTCGAAGCAGAAAAGGAATTCCTTAGGACTGAGACCAGTACAAGATGCAAAGAGCGTGCATCAGTTTAGAAAGGAGCAACCAACGGATCTCAGAAAGCGAGAGAGTACCGGATCGACCGTGAGAGTACCGAAGAACGACGGACTCGGTCAGAAGGGAAAGTCAACATGAATCTACGAAGGGTGGACAAAAATTTGTGCTGCTTGCTTGGCAGAGACTCCGTTCAGAACGGGCATCGTGCAAAACGGCAAAACGTGTCTCGACACCGTCCACCACTGCGTTCGTGAATCAAGGTAGGTCACGAAGTGTCGGTTGTCCCAAAGTAGAGGCTTCTACGGGCGCCCGTCGACAGTGCTCTCACTCAATCGTAAGAGAGCAATAAACCGTCCCGACCAGGCAGTGCAGGCTCAAGCATTAATCTTCCTTAGAGTTCAACTGAAATGAACAGTTCAACTTTTACAATTTGTTTCTTTCAATCGTGCGTGCCTCAGCAAAGCCTGCTGAATCAAGCGTTTCAGAAAAGCAAGAGCCGCTACTTCGAAATACTGGCTCAAACCACATTCACACCTTTCACTGAGCGCTTGTGCCGCCCGTGAGCGCCTGTCATTGCCAGTTTGATTGGCACCGAGAAATACGAGTCCGACTTTTCGAGCAAGTTACTTTTCAGAGCGGATGCATGTGCAAAATTCCTCGTACGACCGTTGTCCCCGAACCAAGCAAGACAGTGGCTCCGATGACGGAATGCTCAATCAAACTTAGCTTTGATGACAGCATGGTCTTTGCCATTATCGCTTGGTGTTTCACGGCCACAAGAAGCAAATGAAAAAAATTGCAACTTGCGCAGACTCACATGAACGCCTTTTCGCTACTGCTTAAAGGCGCTGCGACATCCATCTCCGCACGAGCTCACCATGCACAGTTCACTTATTCCTCATGGCCACCTCTCATCAGCCGATTGCCCTCATTGCCACCTCTCATCAGGCAACGCATGCAAAACCAGCCCAAGCGCTCGTACTAATTTTCACGGACGTAAAAACCTGGATGAAGTGCTTAGAAATCTGGATGAATTGCTTACAAAACCAAGCAGAAGCTAGTGGAAGACGGAAGGACAGTGATCCTCGATTTCGAAGTCCGTATGGCTCGGATCAACGCCTCGTTCGCTCAAGGTGGTGAAAGTCATCGCCAACAACAACAGGGGACCACGGTATCCAGGAACACCAACAGGGCCCGCCGCAAATGTCAAAATTAAGCAGCGTAAGTTCGCAAATTACGTAGCCAGAAACAGAGGAGCCAGCTCGGGCAAACTATGGACACCCCGCGAATTTCAGATCGTAGAATAGCGGCTTCGACTGCTCGTACTCCAGATGCTATTTCAGCTACTTCAGGCCCGGCAACAAAATCGTCCTCGGCTACAAGAGCGTTTGACGTTTGAACAGCACCATCTGACGCACGAACGGATAACCCGGTTTCGTCAATAACTAATTGCGAGGGCTAGAAAACTTCGCTAGCCAGCACCCGTAAAGATTATACCATCCAGGCCAACGAAGTTGTTTCTGTGGAAAGTCGCTTTTCAAGAAGCGGGATAAACTCCTCGAGATTCTTTACTGTGTATGGGCAGCCGTTAAATCCAGCCTGTTGCAGCTCAAACCAAAATCCAAGAGCGGCCAGGAAACGCCGTTCCACAACCCTGAGCAATCTATGCGAGTTTGACGTGTGGTGACCCAGAAGCATGTGGCTCAGCTCGTACTTGTCCTTCTTCCGTGAGCTCGCCAAAACCCAGGGCTGTACGAGATCATGGCCTGAACACATCGGCCCAAAGAAAGAGGCGTGCAGACGAACCACAACTTGTGTAAGGACTTGGATCGAGGACGAAAACGACGCAGGTGCCTCGAAGCAGTTGTCAACAACGCTTTCTTTGGCGTTTTTCCCAGAACTCACAAGGTAGAATATCCTACCAGAACGTCTGCCCGTTGCTCCAACAATAATGCAAGCCTCTCTCATAAAAGTTTCATTCGGAGCACGGTCTCTTGTGGCAAGCACTTTCGTGTGTTAAAATTCAAGCACTTTGGAGATATAAACAGCAAAGCACTAAAGGACCGCTTTAACAGAAATCATTGCTCGACAACGCGCGCCTCTGACCAAAGCGCAGCAGCCAAAAGCAGAAGCTGACCGAAGCAGAAAACATTAACGAAACGGAACCTTGAACGCCATCGATCAAAATACGGCTGCCAAAAGCAGAACCCGCCCCAACCGAAAGAAGGCAACAAAACCATTCTTTAAATAGGGCGTTCCTCACCTTGCCCTCGGACATCTCGCGCCCGATCTCCTCGTTCTCCTCCTGCAGCGTGCGGCACTTGGCCATGAGCATCTTGCCGTTCTTGCTGTGCGGCGTGAATTGCACCGCCGCCAGGTCGTCCTGCGCCTCCTTCAGCTTCTTCTCGCTCGCCTCCAGCTCCGTCTGCGGGGTGCGCACGGATGGTCAGATGATGTCTCAATGGCAGCATAGAGTGCAGTTCGGGGCTCGATGGATACTTAACTAGGATAGTATCTGGGCTGAATTGAGTTGTTGGTATGCTTGTCAGGGCCTGTCTCAATGTTTCAAGAAAACAAAAGAGCAGGATTCGGAGATGCGGATTCATAAGAGCAGTTGAAGCTTCCTGAACCGAGCACAAGTCCAATCGTCACATCTACTCTATTTTACCTGCTGAAGACGTCGTGAAAGTAAAACGAGCAGAAGTTCCGAACAAGCAAGGCCGAACACGAAGGGAAGTAGGACAAAGTCGTCATAAAGAGCTGTCGCTGCTCGGGTCAGCGAAAAGCGCGGGCAGAATGAGCGAAGCAAAAAAACCAATTGACCTTTCTGTTCTCCAAATGAACAGTGAAGAACGTGCAAGCTGGCAAAAAAGCTCTGAACGGGTTTCTTTCCTGGCTTCAGCTTTCTCGAGTCGACAAACTCAACGAACATTGTTCTGACTTGTAAGAACCTTCACATAAAATCAATCTTCAAATACCACAATCCGAGCGCAGTCTACAGTCGTCCTGAGTACGATTTACTTCAGGAAGGCAGTCTTTCTGTGTTACCTTGAGCTTGGTAAACTCGAGGTGGAGCACCGGGTCTAGCAGCAGCTGGCGCGCCTGCGTGTGCTTCGGGTGCATCAGCTGCTTCAGGTCGTGCAGCTGGGTCTGCAGAGACAAGCGTGACGTCAGTAGGGGCAAGGATGACGATGTGAAAGCTCAGTGCGAGGCGACAAACCAAACGTTGGGCGTGAAGTACCATCTGACCGAGCTGACGGACGCTTAGGATGAGTGTGCAAGAATGGGAGCGAGCCGCTAGCTCGACGCCTCAACGACCTCTCTGGTTAGACAAATGCCACAATGCGTTGTAGAAGGCGTCTTTGAGCACACAAACCACTCTACTTGTGTCCAGATTAGAGGCAGGGCTGAACAGCGGCAATGTTCGAGCGGGCCTTGCTGATGGGTCAGGCAAACCAGGTACCCACCCGATGACTAATGCGAATACAAGGACCCCTTCATAGAGCAACCAGTCCCAGCTACTTGTAATGCTTCTGGAGTTGACAAGTAAGCCATTCGAGTTTGAAGGGGGCGAACCCCCGGTGCCCCGACAAGATCCTAAAGCTCTTGGTGGAGAATATCTCGCATGATACTTACCTTCAGCTCGGCGACGTCCTTGTCTTTCATTGTCAACTTGATAAGCAGAGCGTCCTCCTTACCCTTCGACACCTGAAGCTGCAGAAAAGAATAAAGAGGGTGGTGGGTGGGTTGAACGACCAACGAATGAGCATCTGCTCGAGGGATGAATCAGCAATTACCGTTTTACAAATAAAAGGTGCATGGCAGAATTGCTCCCAGCGTTGTCCGTGGAACCAGATTATCGTTAGAGGATTGTCTCTCTAACATTGAACTCCAATCCCATCTAAGCACGTTCCAAAGATACTGATGGAAACTGTGGGACTGGTCTCCTGTATGAGGAGAACTTTGATAGCGGTGGAACCTGTCTCTGGTCAAGAAAGACTCAGATACTGCTTAGAACGTCAGGCTGAGCTTATCTCCGCCAGCTCATTGCCCTACATGATGACCTGGCAGAGTTTGACTAGTCCGCAACAATCAAGAGAACGGCAACCAACCTGCTCTCTCAGCCTGCTGTGTTGCACCCCCATCTTCAGCACCTCCTGGATCACGACCGTCGGATCTGGCTCCCCCCCAGCAACTGCCAATCCTGGCAGGATGGAGTTGCCCTTGAAAGCTGTGCGCCATCGTTCTAGTTCTGCATTTGCGGTTGCGTATTTCTGCTGGAGGACCACCAGGTCAGCGTCGCGTTGCTCCAAACTGCGAAGTGGTGCACGGAAGATCAAGCAATGGGAAAGGGTGTGGAGGGAAAGGGTGTTCTCCTGCAAGGTACTGTTTGCGGGGATCTTTGAGCTCGTACAACGTGTCGTAGTGTCATACGTGACATGAACATGGTGAAACGATGACAACACCAGCGTTTTCGTTAGGTTGTCTCTGTTGTGCTCAGGGGATTCTGCCAGAATGAGTTTTCGATCGGCTTATGGCTAGAATGCTACCTTGAGCTGACAGAATTTAATTTTGAGGAATGGGGAAAAGGAGCGGCATGACCACGTTTGCAGGCGTTTACAAAGCCATGATTTGAAATCACTTCAAGGAATCAAAGGAACTTTTGATAAAGACAAGAAAATGCTCTCCCCCTCACCTAGCTCTCAGGTTCAAGATGGTAGTGGTGGCGTGATCGGCAACATGGGCCTGCAAGGAAATGGGAGGTGTTAGTACAAATCTGTTGCAGAGCTTGACTCTGAAGAAACGCAGATTACTGGGCAGAGGGCATGCAGCAATGACAAGATGCAGCACAAGAAATGGCATTTGTACATGATGATACCTGCTTCTGGAAAGGCTGCCTCTGAAAAGGGGACACTAGTTAGAACAGAGGGCATATGCATTTCAAGTGGTGTTGCAGCCACCTTATGAGGACTTTAAGTCAAGCAATCATCTCGAATGTTTTCTTCAACTACCTTCGTAATGTCGTCTGAAAGGAAAACAAAACCCAAAATATGCTGTACCAGAGCTCCAAAGAATACATACACACTGGGCAGCGATACAGGGGCAAAACACACCTTTTTAGTCTCATACTCTTCATCAAGATCCTCTTCCGCTGGCCGCTTTCTTGACACCGGAGCCGAGATGCCAACATCATCGCCGAAATCATCGTCCCCCTGCAGAGTGACAATGCACGATGACAAAGTTTCTTGCCACACTGAGGTTTTCTTCACGGGCAAAGTTTTTATGGTTTGGACTTGGAGGAAAGGCACAACCCAGAATTCCAAATCGTCTGATGCCTTGAAATGTGGTGGTAGGCAATGTAATCATAAGAAACTGTTGCTGACATCCTGAATTTAGCCATGCATCAGCTTGACCTGCGATTGGATGAATGCGGCATCCAGAAGCACGCTTCCGGACCCTTGAGGCTTTGCAACAATGATGCCAATAAGAGAAATAATTGACAGCTGATAAAATTGCAAGTGGGTGTGCCTTGCGTAGGGAATAACTCACACCAAACATTGCGGCCAGCGGGACCGCCAATCCAGATGCTCGTGTGACGTGATGGAACACCCGGGGATGTTGAAATGGTTGTCAGCACATTTGCGAAAGGTTTTGCCCTGAAGAATTTGTAAGGTACAACTTACAGGCGATACAAGCGACCAAGAAAGCTCCAGATAGTCACCAAGGATGAATGTGAATTTGCACGAGGCAGAATCCCTTGTGCATTGCAAGCCAGCTCACCCATCCAGGTCGATTTAGGGGCGCGTTTTGGCGCGAGGCGAGGGACGAAATAAGGTACAACAGTGCCAGATTAGACGGTCGCGATATTGTTTAACGAAACTGAACGGCCGATACGTAAACCGATCGGTCCTCAATCCATGTTTCTATTCTGAAGCTCATATGGAAGGTGCCAATTTCAGCCAGCCTCAGCCAGCTGCGCAGCGAGCTAGATATTCTGCTGGTAGGACGGTAATTCAGGTTGGATTGACCCTGGTTTACGTTCTGGTTCACAGAATGTTCAAAACTAAACCAAATCAGGTTTCGTCTTCTGCAATGGCTTCGAGACACCCTCGGGGTCCTCTCGAAGCTCCTCTAACCACCTCGAAGTAGTTTGGGTCAGTCTGAGAAACCCTGCCAACTCCAAACAACCTGGTTCAAAGGGGTATTTCCATTGGATTTTCTGCCTGTCAACTGCCACGATAAATTTCCTTCGAACAAGAGGAAATCACCTTCGGGGCAAGCTGGGATGTCAAAAACATTTTTCCAAAAATAATCTGACGTTAATGTGCACCGCCAGGAGAACATACCTGGTCAACAACCTGAGAAAAAACCATTTTGAGCATATAAGCTGGGAGTTTCGACCATTAACGGTGCACATTTTCGTCAAAATTGTGATTTAACCGTTCGATAGACATCCCAGCTTGGCCCGATTAAGTTTTAGGGGGGTCAATGAGAATTCTATCATTTCGTTTTTCTGACGGCCAAGGGTTCATGTAGGGGGGTAAATGTTCAAACTTCCTCAACTTCAGACTTTCCTCGACAAGTCGTCAGTGAGTTCGAGGTGGTCCCAGAGTGCTCGAGGGGGCCTCCTTGGTCCCCCCCGAAAGATGCAAAAGACGGGACTCGATTTGACCACGTTATGACCAAGTTACGCCCCTTCAAACCCTAGAAACCCTCTTTTCTGGCTGAATTACCGTCCTACCACCTTAAGCTGGGTCATGCTGTTCAGCAGGGCGGTCCAGTAGGGCGCTCCTCCCGTCTTTCTTGCATGACGGTGTGAGTGTTCTGACGCAATTTGGATTGGTTGTTCGGCCACCTCATCCGCAACCAGTGATTATTCTGGCGCCTGGTCCATGTATTTGGATCTGCCTTCCGCCCGGGGGTAAGCTGGCGATAGTGGGGGCCAATTGCTTCTTTTTGGCATGAGAAAGGAAGGTTTAAGTTGAAGGGTTTGTGCATCTCTCGACCAGCGGTCTGCCTCACGTAAGCAGCAGAAAAGGCACCAGTCAAATGGGTTGCAGCTGTAGCTTCGAGGTAGTGCCTCATCTGTCGGGGTAGACAGGAGCAGCTGGAAGTCGTGAGATCGCCAAATCAGGCCATTGGGTCGATTTTGATGTTTGTGGGGTCCTAAGTCAGGAACCAAGTAGCTCAAGATCAGCTTCTTATATAGCTAGCAGAATTTGATCATACCTACATCAATAGTCCTGAAGCAATATACAATTGCCGAAACGATGCCGTCCCCGTCAGTTGCCTCCCAGGCCTCCTCCCAGCAGGCCGCCACGCAGTTCCTAAACTCTGTCCTGTCACAGCGCGGGCCGAACGCGCTCCCGTATGCAGAGGATGTCAAGTGGTCGATCCGGCAGCACCTGTTGGCAGTGGTGCAGGTGCGCTGCCCTTTTTTTTTGTTCCTAGGTCTGTTTTGCACGTACTGCGGGTGATGCATGCACGTGTGATTTTTGTGTCCTGGAAGTGCCGTCTTTCTAAAGATGACAGTCGAGTCTGGAGCTTGCACAATCTTAGCGGTGAAGATAAACGGCAACAAAGCTTTTCATTAAAAAAGGCTTGCTGTTGATGGCATTAGGGTTTCAAGAATTGTCATGGCAGGCTTGAAAACAAAGCTGCATACTGGCCAGACCTCCGGTCATAGGTTGATGCCGCTGCCATTTGCTGGGTAATTTGTACAATTACCCCAAGTCTCATGCATTTGGCAATCAATTTGCCTGATGGAGAGATATTCCCCTGCTGACATTATGGTCAGAGTGCATTGACTGCTTGCCAACAAAGCCGCACAATGCCACCGTAGACTGCCCTCACTATGTCAAGGAAGCAGTCTCAGCAGAGAGATCGTCACTATAAGAATAATTTCATAGCGCCATGTTCCTGACAAGGTAGCAGATTGGATCCTAACGTACCACAGTAGCTTTCGCCTGACCACCTGGGCATCAGAACGTTCTGATCCCCTCAAAGGCCACTTAAGCGAAGGCCCTGTACTCTTTGACGAGGGTCAAGTACGATCAGCCAAACACAGGGCTTCTTATTAGGCGGCAGGCCATGGCAGTTTAGCCAGTCCAAGTCTTCGTACTCCTCCTTCATTGGGTTATCAAGAGTGCCTCGGCCAGAATTCAGGAGTAGCAACTCCAGTACCACTCCTTGCTCAGCCCTTCTTTTGGCATCCAATCCCTGCCCAATCCTGTTCCCTGGCTTTCCTGCCTGCCTCCTTTACTTTCTGGTACAGGGTTACGTGGGGCTGACCGTCAAGACTGGCAGCTTCAAGGTTGACACTTCTTGAGGCCATTGTCAAGCTATCGGAGTCCTCCCCAATCCTGTCGCTTGACTTTCGTTTCTGACCTATGCAGGACTATCCGGGCTGGCCGTCAAGACTGGCAACCCTTCCAATTGACCCTTCTTCACGCCTTGTCTGGTTATCGACTTCTTTCCCATCCCAGTTCCTTGACTTTCCTTTTCTGACCGCTGCAGGACTACCCGGGGCTGACCGCCAAGACTGGCACCTTCACCCACAACGACGGCCGTGCCTCGCACCTGCTCAAGCTCGAGGGCACCGTCCCCATGTTCTACCAAAACGTCAAGTACAACATCCCCATCACTGCCTGGCTTCTCGAAGGCTACCCCCGCCAATGCCCCCTCGTTTACGTAACCCCCACCCGCGACATGATCATCAAACCGCGGCACCAATTCGTCGACGCTTCCGGGATGGTCGCCGCCCCCTATCTCCGAGAATGGGTGTTCCCCCGCTCAAACCTAGTCGATCTCTGCGGCACGTTGTCGGTTCTCTTTGGTTCGGACCCCCCCTTGTACACACGACCGAGCCACGTTCCCGCACGCCCCCCCCCTCCGCAACAAGGGTTCGTCGGCGTCAACCCCATTCTCTCAGGCAACTCCTCCCCCGTGATCGACACCCGCCCCCCTCCTTCGGGCCTCGTCACACGGCCACCATACTCCCCTCCTTCGGGGGGTAGGTCGGGCTACGCCAGCCCACCCCCCCAGGCCACGCCGATGAGCGGAACGGCTCGTCCCCCCACGCAAGGGGGGGGGCAGTGGACGGATAACCCCGAGGAGGTGTTCAAGAGGAATGCGGTGAAGAGCCTGACGGAGCGCCTGCAAAAGGACTTGGCGAGCCATAATAGGGAGGTCACGGGCGAGATCGAGGGGCTGTTCTCGACGCAGGCGCTGCTGGAGCAGCGGGGGGCGACGATCGAGGGGGGGGTGCGGGAGCTGGGGGAGGAGAAGGAGGCGCTGGAACAGGCGCTGCAGGTGAGAGCGTCTGGAGGGGCGTGGTTCTGGTTGTTAGGGACATCATTTGGTGGTGTTCTTGCTTAGACTTGGCGAGACCTTCATTGAGCTTGCGAAGATTGCGCGGAGCACCGTGTGCAGGGGTCTGCGCAAGTGTGAGTACTTTGCTCGTTGCAGTGGCGAGTTGGCGACTCTTGTTTGCGTAAAGCAACGCGGTCAGCACATGATGTACTTATACGTCTATGGACCACGATGGAGAACGTGGAAAAGTTGCATGATCCGCTTCTTCAGATGCGGAAGACTGGGGTGACGGAGTGCTTCTGTAAGCAGCGGAACCGTTAGAAGATCTTGATGGAATTCGCTTGCGACTGATTTTATTACCTTGCGAGGAGTTTATTGACGACCGGCCTCCTCAAATTGGAAACGTCTTTTCGCTTCAACTTGTATACTATCCGGTAAAGCAGTGCAGTTCTTTGTCCACTTGTCAAGCGTCCACCTCATCCCAAAAGCAGGGTCTCTAATTTGATGCTTTGTTTGATCTGCAGGTCATTTTGACCAACAGCGACGTCATCGAGACGTGGCTCAAGGTCAACGATCGAGGTGCGGGCGAGGAGCCGGCGGATGACATCGACGCCGCTTTCGAGCCGGTGGACCGCTTCTCGCGGCAGCTGCTAGAGTCCTCTGCGGAGGACCTCGCGATCGAGGACCTTATGTATGCGCTCGACAAGGCCGCGCAAGACGGGTCACTCGGGGCTGAGGTTTATCTGAAGACGACACGGAATCTGTCACGCGAGCAGTTCTTCCACCGGGCCACGTGCATCAAAGTGCGCGCCATGCAGCAGCAGGCGCAAGCGCAGGCGGCCGCGCCGTATGCGAGGGGGGGTTACCGGTAGCATGCAGGTTGGGGAGCAAGGGCCGGATAAGCGGTTGCGTTGTACAGGATCTGCAACAATGCGAGTCAAAACGCGCTATTAGTGTAGGCTACAAACCGCGCAGCATCTTTGCTTCTATGTCATTGTCTACTAAATACAGGTTCAGGCCGGAAGTTTCGCAGAACTGGCGTTCTTGCATTGACGAACGCGCACATACGTGAGTCTGCTCATGGAGTCAATCTCACGTACTGCCGCGTCGGCCCACTGCAATATTGGCTTGGGCTCAAGACATGAGCCGGTTTTCTGTGGACATCCGTCTCTAGGTGGCCCGGCAGTGTCTCAGAACATTACATCGACAGTCTAATGATAGCCGCCCTAGAAGGTGTCGATCGTGACCGGGTAAATCAATTACCTATATAGCATGCCGCCTATCATTACCCGGCCTGCATGGTTCTTGGAACAGTGGTGGCCCTTGGCCGCACTGATCGACCCGCGGCTGATCACTACCGACGTCCTTGGGAACCGCTGCAATTAGCCGAGGGGAAAAAAGGATGCCATACTAAGTGTTACCTCTTTGGGACGCCAACGCATGCGGCACGGGCTGTACTTGGAGACCAAAGAATCGAACAGAACTTTAACATGTACTCGCCCCGGCCCGTGCAATCCGGCCATGATCAGGGCCGACTTTCATGCATGTGCCGCTCATGGCGGTATACGTACATACTGACTGAGCCTGCGAAGAGGCTCCAATTATTACTCCGACAAGTTGCATACCTTGACTATACCAGTTACTGCCACAGTATTGGTCTTCTGCATGCATGTAGAACTGTACAGTTAGGCCAATTCTCGACCGGCTATTGTGATGGAGTTCTGTATATTTGCTGACAAGCGCCATATAAATGTATTTGATCAGTATCATTCTTTCGTGCCACCTTTAAGAGGGCATCTACACTACATTTAGAGCTCTCCTTACAAGCGATTCTTTTTGCAAATGGCCCCCGTGGGGAGTCGCTTGTAAACGGATCAATTTGTTTCATACCACCGTGTCAGCATACTCTGCAGCTCTTTCTGCAGTGGCCGGTGCTTCCCACCATGTACCCTGGGTTCTTCGTGCACTCGCCTGTCGCAGCCCAGCCGGGGCAACGACCGTCTAGGTCCGCACACTGACCCGGAACCACCTGTCGCACAGAATGGAAGAAAATCCCAGTAAAGCCCAGAGGTTCCCTTCTATGTACAAGATTCATGTCTAACCAAGACTGCAGGTCCAAGACGGTGATCAGGTCCAAGAGTATCCGCACCTTACAAGCATGCGTACATTGTGATCCAGTAAAAGACGCTGACGAGAACCAAGGGTAGTCGCACCATACTTGCATGCTGACACTGCGAATCCACTCAACCGGGAACTCTGATCTATTTCAGTGCGACACAGGGGTCGCGGCTGCAGAAACTATCACACAAGGGCCGGCTTGAAACTTTGGTTGAATCCGCGTGTCTAGCCCCACAGTAAGTGGGCACGAGAAGAAGCTCAGTAAGTGGGCACGAGAAGAAGCTCAAGGAGATGGCGCGAGAGTCGGAACAGAAGCTCCCCGCTCACCTTTGGTCCGTCAAAATCTGCCACGTGTATCCACTTGGGCGCAGACCACTTCTCGCCCTTCTCGACGGGGCACGCCCCGTGCAGGCTGCTCGGGTCGGTAGACGCATCCGGGTGGAGACTGAAGAAAAGGAGCGCGTCTCCTTTCCTTGGTTTCACTACAAGAAGGAATTTGCCTTGAGAAGGAGGCACAGATGAACGAGGTTATCGCGGTCGTGAGAGGCACTGAGACTTCTTACGTATGCTTTTAATTTAAGGCTCTTACGAAGTGAACTTGGAACGGCACAATGCACCAAAAGCCGTTTGAATCCGGCAACGTCATACGGCCGAGTCAGATGATGCTGTCTCATGAAAGACAGCTTCAGGTGCCGCAAGCACAGGCTTTAAGGCCTTCTGGACACCAATCGATTCCAAGCCTGATCAAAGCGAGTCCACATGCCACAAAGCTACGTTACATGACAAGAACAGGTTGAGAAACCGCGAGCTGCGTCAATCAGGCTCATGTTTGATGGTAAAACGCGCTCGATCTCGTTCGTAACGGCCAATCAAACCCGCCTTCTTCGTCCCACTGGCATTTCTCGGATATACAAAGATCTCAATGCAAGTCCTCTTGTGCTATTCCGGAGAGCCTACAGAGCCATTTATGCCAGTGTGACTCACTCACAGTCAAGGTACAACGATGCAGACTCCAGACTGTTGCCCTCTTAGACCAACCTGCTTCGTCCATTCCTTGCAGAACAAGGCCCCAAGAGGCAGGATTTTCAGTCCCAAAAGTCCGCTACATTCAGTCGACTCACCCGCGAGCCCCTTCTGTGCGCACTCTGACCACGTGCCGTCCTTTTGCCGCGGGTGTGGGGTTGCCGTTGGGAACACCGTCTCCCCCCCCTTTCCGACCGTGTTCAGATACATGAGCACCGTAGCAATGCGATGCCCCCCCCGCTGGATGTTGACTTTGTCGCTGAAAAAGTCGTGGTGTGGATCGTACTTCTGACCATGTTGATAGCGTAGAATCTGGAGCGCCTCCCCATTCTCTGCAAACAGCATGGGGTTGGTTAGGATTGGGTTTGGAATTGGGGTTAAAATGGTTTATAATTGGAGTTGGAATGGGGGCTGGGGTTGGGGTTAATATTGGGGTTGAAATTGGGGTTAGCGTCGCGGTTGGGCAGGGGCTAAATTTGGTCAGAGTGGGTCAAATTGGTCAGAACGGGAGTGGGTTAGAAACAATTTCAAAGTGCAAAACTCAAGAGGATACGAGAAACATTATGGCAACAGAAGTTACGGAAGTTTGTCGGACATCTCCCTTCGTGGACTTTCGACCATGCTGGTGGGGTAAAACATGTTACCCCTGTCACTAAGTTTCGCAACACTTGAGGGGTCAGTTGATTCTTTACAAAGGAAGCACTCAGTGTCAAAGTGACCCTGCAATCTGTGTGGACAATCAAGTCGGCTACAGCAAAGAGTCAACCGTGAAAGACTGATGTGGGGCGGAGACTACACGCTCCAACATCTTAGCGCTGGGTGGCACAGCTCTTGGGACAAACCTATCAAGTCAGAACCGTGGGAACATCATTGCAGGCCCCACTATGTGATGCTGGGCCGCTTTGAGACTCTAGCACGGAGCGTGCATGCTACAGTAAGGAAGGCGTTACCGGACCGCTCCAAGTGGCACTCGTTCCAATGCGTCTCCTGAATTGTAGAGAAGGTCTGTGCTGTCTCAAAAGGTTTCTATTTCACCCTGGTTGCAAATGTCGATCCCCCCAAACCAGAGGCTTACCTACTGGCAGGAATGTCCAGGCCGCGATTTTGTCTTCAATACCCGCAACCACCGCATCCTGAAACAGGAAGGATGCATTTGCCTTAATCTGCTGGTCTGCTTATGGTCCCTTCTATATTCACTTGTGCTGGTGGTACTGTTTATCATGGTCAACATTCTCGATGTCTCTATTCTTGACTTCTGAAGCATGTGAGAGTTGGCCTTTCGACGATCGAGTGACTTGTATAAAATCGTTCCAAGAGCAGGGTGTGAACATAACTCCAAGAAGGAAGGAGCCGTTCGAAAATTGGGAGTGAAAGTCCAAAAGCTCGAAAGTGAGCTAAGTGAAGCGACCCAAGCCCTTTTTGGAATAAAAGGGGGCTCTTGCCAAAGGGCAGCGGCGCTTGTGGCTTCGCAGGCTGTTGAACTCACCTGCGCCCTCAGCACAAACATTCCGGAGCTTGTGCGGACTTCGCTCGAGACGCCCTGCCCCGAGTCGTTGTCCACCACCGTTGAGTGCTCCAGCTTGTCGCGCGCCTGGAACATCAGGGAAGAACAGGAGACTTCAGGAGCTTTTCTTTGTCAACAAAATCTGGTACCTGACAATCCATATGCACTGCAGCTTTGGATCCTTGGGATCGGAAGGGCGTCAGGCTAACTGGTATTAGTAGAGTACTGAAGTAGAGTATTGAGGGCAAAAGAACAAGAGTCCTGAAGTGGCACTCACTTTGTCAAGGATTCGTCACTCTGCAATGTAAGGGGTCCATATACACCGGAGCAATTGCTGCAGGAGCGAGGAAGGGTGTATATTTACCATGGCAACCAGGTGGTCGCACTCTTCATCCGTGAGGAAGTTGTGGTAGAGCCATGCTCTGTAGGAGAAAGAAAGAAGAGTCAGACTACGATGATGAAGACCCTGATGCTCATCAACAAATGCTTCAGCACAATAAGGGAATCGCTTGATCCTATACAGATTGGCCGGAGCGCAAATCAAATGTCAGGCAGGGACAGACTGTGCATCAGGCTCTTGGAACTATGGCAGCGGATAGCCGCAGCTTGAGAGCTGACGGCAATCGTAAACCAGGAGGGCCCAATCCTCCATCTCTCCTGCCCTGTTTCAAGAACAGGTTTATGCTCACAAAATACATGGGCTTACAGGACTCCTTTTCACCGAAGACAGTTATTTTTGCAGAAAGTCCCGTCTGGTAAATGAGCCATGATCTATGCACAGGAGTCAAAACGCAGCTTGAGGATGAAAAGCGAACCTGGGATTCCAGGACAGGTGCTCTATCTGCGAAGGATTGACGCTCCAGCCTGGTTTAGGGACCACCTGCTGAATCACTTCTCCCCGCAACTGCTTTGCCGTTTGGGTACTGCAACAGAATGTTGCAACCTGGTTTGCAAACCGTAGCAGTGGGACAATTTGTTTTGGCAAGCAGGGGAGCTCTCCTTCACCAAGCTTTCAATCTAGTGCGTTTGTTCTTTCTTTGGGACTCAGGCATACTCTTCCCACAGAGGGCAATCCTGAATCACCAGTACAATAGAGGACCCTTCAAGGGGCACCCATTGGGGTCACAATCCCTCGAATGGGTATAAGGTTGGTGCTGTTCATGATACAAGGAGGAAATGGCATCTCTGTACTACAATATGAATGCCCAAGCCAAGATGCCTTTCCAGAGGTTTCAGAACCTGATCAGGTGGCTTGATGAATCTCGCTGTTCAGTCCCCCTCAAACCTTGTGGCTGTTTATCAATCAAAGCAGTGGCTATGAATGAATCAGCTTCCTCACCTGACTTCGCCCAACCAGCCAGGCAAATCATCCGGCTGCCCAATCCACATGCGACCCTCGACGGCTACGCCAAAAAAGGTGAGAACCAGTGCTAAAAGCGGGACCACATTCTTCATCATGCAAGCATTGCATACAGTGACCCCCTTCTCTTAGATAGTGCATCCAGAGTCCTGATATCAATGCTAGACTGGTGGACGGACCAGGCAATGCACATTCGTCGAGCCCCTTCAATACAGGCGTTGCTGGAAAAGTAGACAATCTGGCGCCCGAAAGCACTTCAGGAAAGCAGAGCAGTCGGACGTCCTGTACACTTTTTCTCGACAACCGCAGCAGGAGCCCTGCTGCCGGCAACAGCTCCGGGCGCGCCATCTTGTTTTTGTCTTCAGTGCTGGTTTGGCAGATGTTTGCTGGTTTCCTTTGCTCAGAGAAACCCTAAGAGCCAAGGGATCACCCAGTGCTTCAAAGTGAATCGGGCTCATGATTGACAGCGGCGGTGTGGTTCCTGAGGTTGGTTCTTGATAAATGGACATTTCTACGGAAACCCTAAAAAACACCCAGACGAGAGGACCATCTTCCTCGGACTCAGAGTTCGGAGTCGAGACGGTATGCAGCTTCATACAGTAATTATGCTTGCAAGGTCTCGATCGTTTCAGTGTCTCTTCAAAGACTGCGAGGATGCGCGTTGGTCGTGCAGTTGCTCGGTTTTTAACAGGCGTTCTTCTGCAGGAAGATTGCAGGGTTGTCCTGAGGACTTGACTGGAAAGTGGTTTCATAGAGCAGCCATCTGTCCATCTTTCACTTCAATTGAGCTCATTTTGAGCTCGTTTGCACTGCTTATATTGAGTCTCTTTACAAAGCCCTTTAGAGTAAGAATGGCAGGAGCTGAACATCCTTAAGGTGTGCGGCCTTTGAGGCGCTTTTTGACCCCTTGCAATCCTGCCTTGATCATCATTGCTTACAATGAGTCGAAAGGTGAACCCTCATAAGGCTCAGCATGGCAATAACAAAGGAGGACCAGCACCGCTTGGGGACGGACAAAGCATTTTGCAAATGGTGAGGATGGCTCTTGTCTCTTGGGGGTGTGCATGTCTCTCGATACTGTACATTCAGCAGAGCTAGTCTCTCAGTCCAATCCTCAATGCAGATATAACAGCCAGCTCTAATGCAAATAACCAGTCCGCCATTCACTAGCCAGCTTGGGAACCCTGGAATGCGATTTCATGCTGGTTGGCCCTCCAAATGCAACTACAGAGCACACTCGTAGATGGACTCGTGATCAGACAGCATTTGTAGACAGGTTAGTAGTTCAGTGTCCTGAGATTGAAAACCCCAAACCATGTTTGCAGGCCGCCAAACTCAAAAGATTTGTAAAGCAACAGAAGGGCAAGCTAGAGAAGAGCGCGGCGCTGCATGAGTGGATGGTTGCTCATCAGCAGCTACAAGACGAGTGGTGCGCCTTTTCATCCAGCTTCATGTTTGCTTGGCCTCAGCCGTCGATTTAGAAGCATTCTCTTTGGCGGTTGCCACTATCATGGCAGATTAAGACCTGAAGCTCATGAGCATGTCTTGTGTTTGCATTTTGTGGATTGCCAAGTTAGGTCTTCAGAGTTGATTCCAGTATTGACTATCGCAGAGACATCACCTAGTTTCTGAAATGCCTCAATGGAATGCTATCTCAGACTCGTGTTAAAGTGGTTTTGCAGTGGAGCGGCAGAGCGAGATGCTGCTCAAGCCCAGGAGGCCATCTCTGAGTTTCTGCTAGATGGAGGAGACCAAGTTGAAGGTTCTCAATCTGAAGGGGACTCAAGGGAGCTGATACTAAAAGTTAGGGACTTGCGGCAGCGTGTTGCTGATAAAAGGTGAGCTGAAACAACCATCAAGTGCAGGGTAACTCAGACTACCACGGTTTCTTTGCACTCATCATCTTTATTTCAGCCAGAGGTTTCAAACTCCAAAGTCGGCCATGATCTAACAAATCTGCTTCATGTCTCAACATATCAGTTCTGCAGTTCTGTCCTTGCTCCTGTTGAGTAGCCTGCCTTCTTATTTTAGCTTTCATGTGAGGCCAGGTCCCTCAATAAGTAAAGCATGGAACTACAGTGAGAATCGTTTCGGAGCACAAACTCCGCCTGACACGATTGCTCAGACCATTCTTCCTTCTTGAGCTTACTGCCCAGAGGCTCACTACAATGTTTCTGCTAGAAAGCTTCCATCCAAGTTCCACAACAAAGCAGCCAAGTCCAGATCCTTGTAGGTTCGTCCTTCGTCTTACAATCACAGAGCAGATGATGAGACGACAATGGAATCAGGAACGGGACGTGAAAAGGCTTGTAGAATGAATTGGAAGATGACCAGATAAAATTTGTAATACTGAATTGCGCGTGCTTCTCTCCAGGAGACGCTCCAGCACCTTCGAAACGTCTTCACTGACAGACGAGCTCAGACGCATCCGGGAGGAGCTCGAACAGCACAAGGAGGAGCTCGAACATCAGGTAAGAAGAAGTCAGAGGCGTATTCCACTAGTCAGTCGGAGGTTATGAGATCAGCATCCTTTTACACCTTTGATGTCAGCGAGGCAACTCTTTTTAGAAGAGAGAGAAGCGGATGTTGCTTCTGCAGGCTGTGTTCCCTGCACACTCAAGTCCGCAAGCATATTCAACAGCTCGCCTTCAGCTCCACAAGAAAAGGTTTCATGATGTCATATACTGCATACAGCAAAAGGTTAAGTAGCGTGAGCTGCAATTTTCCATGCCAGGAGCAGTCTGTCTCTTATGTACCGCTCTCCTGGAGCTCAGCTTTGCAGGGGGACAGCGTGACACGCGTCAGTGGCTTTGAGCCAACTGAGTTGACTCTGGGACTGTTTCGCGTTTTTTTGCTGGCTTCAAATCCTCGCCAGGAAACGGGCTAATCTGGTGTTTACAAATGCGCAATCTGGATTACTCTAGGAGCTTGATGAGAACGTAAGTCTGCTCTGGTGCAATCTCCTTAGAACCTCAAACCTGGAAGGAAGTCCTTGGGCGTCAAGTATGTTCAGTGTTTATCAAAGGTGTTTAAAAAATAAACACAAAAAAAATCGAATAAATAAAATCCTTCATCCGAGAACGACTTTACTCTGCAGGAGTCAGCTTGTATTGCTGCTGGTCCGTCGACTTTTGAGGATGAGCCCGGCAATGACGAGGACGTGACTTGGCAATCTCGATTGGAGGAACTCTTCAGCAGGTTCCCCACCGCCTGCGACGAAAAGGAAAAGGTAGGAGGCGATCTTTCTAAAGTCCGGGTATCCAGCTTGATAGCATCCACCTGATACCGTCAAAGGCTTTCCAAGGGTTCTTTGCGGAAGCTGCACGAAACCGCTCTGGCCCCAGGAACAGGAAACGGTCGAACGGTCTGGAAAGAGAAAGTGGGACGCGTTGTTTCTTTTAGTTTTGTGCCTGTTTGCGAAAACCGTTTGAATAGACGTGATTGCTATCGCTAATCAGCGCTTAAAAGCGTCTCCGCTTTTTAGAAGTCTCTTCTGTAGAATCCACCTTGCAGAAACAGGTTTCCAGGGTGTAGCTTGACGTCGCCATTCAAATGATGCAAAATCTCGTCGACCTCTCAATCTCGCCAGTTTGAGTCAGCAGATTGATTACGTTAGCCGACAGGTCGAATGTCTCCTCGTCGGACCTTTCTTACATTCGGACGCAGGCCGAATCGAGGCGGCTCTTTGCGGACCTTGTTGAAAACTTCTTGAAGAAACGGTCAGAGTTCGAGGCGACCTGCCCGCCCAGCACCCACGCTGGCTGGTCGCTGGAAGACCACGAGACGTTTCTCCGGGTCCGGCGGGCGGGGCTTGCGGAAGCGAGTGCCACGTGTCAGCCGCAGTCGGAGGTCGTGTCCAGGGTTTGCAGGATGATGCCGCATAGAGCTCAGAGGGATATTGTACAACATTCCGAATGGTGAGTCGCATTTTGGCACACATTTGCCCGGTGAGTGCACTTCTCGTCGTGAAGCAGGACTAGCATCTAAGGTAAGGTTGTTTAAAGCCTCTTAGCAAATCATTGAGAAGGCTGCGAAACCGACCCTCTTGGAGGGCCTCTTTTGTGGGTTCACGCTTTTCAATGCAAACGCGTCGTTCGAACCCGCAATCTTCAGGTGGTGTTTTCCCGTCCCGCCAAGTGAAAATCGGATTCCGCCATTGGCGACCCGGAGGTTGATTATGTCAGTATGCATGGCGAGTCGTAAGAAGCGAATCAGGACCTTCTTCGTGTAGCTTGTTAAAAGCCTTCTCCTCCTTTGGGCGAAAGAATCTCACCCTGCTTCGTTTCCCTAGGTACGCTGAAAGACTCTTGTGGCGACGAAAGCTGGAAGATTTACATGCGTCGAAGTCGCGGCAGCTGGACGAAGCGTTGGAGAAGCTGGAGAGGAAACTAAGCAAGGTCAGAAATTCTCTCAAAGCGTAAAGTGGGTGGTCTAAAGGAGGCGTCGATCATGATCTTTAAAGAGCTTCCTTCAGACAGGGCACATCTCCACATCACTCTACGGCGACTTCACGAAGTCGCAGACCGACTTTTGCTGCAACTTCTAAAAGCAGATGCCTAATTGACCAAAATGTCAGTGCGGAAGCGCCCACCATTTTGGCGCCTAAGGTAACCGCTTTTCCGACGAGGTCCATCAGAATCGCTGGGAGGAGCTTCCTATGAGGTTTGGAGCGGAGACGCAAGTGGATTTTTCAGCAATTTCATTTTGGCTACGTGCAAAAGTATTGCAGACTTCCCAGTTCTCAGCGCAATCTGATCTGATACTCTGCTTTAGTCGCTTGCAGATATTTGGATCAACGGGACTTGAAAGTGCATGCTAACATTATGTTTTCCTGTACCCAGAAAGAGGCCGGCTTTCGAACCGCTGCCGCCACGGCTTTGGACACGATCAAACGCGAGGCTGTGCAGTCAGTTTTGCAAAGCAAGCTCGATAACCACCGGAAAATTAAGGCGGATAGCGCGCAGCTAGAACTGCAGAAGCGGCTTGAAATGGCGGAGACTGAGACGGAAAAGAAGCAACTGGAAGAAAGGAGAGCGAAAGACGAAAAAGCGAAGGCGAAGGCACTTCTTGAAAATTACCGGGCGGAGATCGAGGATCTAGCGCGTGAAAAAGAGCAGGAGGCCACGAAAGGAAGGGCGTTGAGGGAAGAAACAACCAAAGCAGGTAAGAAGTCAAGCCAAGTTCGAGACGCTTAAGCGAGACATTTGATCTTAGCTTCGCCTTGTTAAGACTTTATATTGGAGGTTCAGACCGCAAGAAGGGTTGCCGCGAGGTTTGTACAGACTTGCTCACGCCCCCCTGAGAGTTCACTTCTCGTTGATCATCGATGACTCTGGAAAATAGGCCACCCTGATACCTTGCTTGCAAGATATTGCACAAGATGGTTAAGAAAAACCATAAATGCCGCAGTCCCAAACGCCACACGTAAAGCGTGAACCTACTTACTGTCCTCGCGCCCACCTCTTCAGGCGCAGCTGAAGCCTGAGCACCATATAAGTAACGCTGGTGCAAGCACTCGAAAGGCGGTAGACCCGCTGCTTCTAGGTATATTAAGTAGGCTCTTGAAGCATAGGCCGGCTTTCATCTCCCAGCTTTTCGTGCTCTCCAATTCTTCCATAGGCGCGATCAAAACTGGAACAGGTAGCTTACCTGCGAGGAGAGCAACCAAAACGGTGGTGGTCCAGCTGCTCTTTGCTGTTAAGGGCGTAAATCGTATTGACTTACTGTTTTTTGCACTGGTTTTACAGAGGCGCAACTGAACGCAGAGCCCCGTAGGACACCGGAAGGTGCAGGCACCTTTAGGCGGTGATCCAGCTGCCTTTAGCCATAATTTGCCCGCTTTTTGAAGCAAAAGCAGAAGTTTGCGTATTCTTGTCTTCCCTCTTCTTCCAGAGGCGCAACTCAACGCGGAGCCGGTGAAATATCGGCGGCGGGAGTATGGCAAAAAGGCGGACACGCCATACAGGCACGGAGCGTGGGTATTCAGCTATTCAATCTGCGAGTATCTTTGCAGAGGCGCAACTGAACGCGGAGCGCGTGGAGTTCCGCCGGCGCGCGCACGCCAAGAAGGTGGACCAGCTGCGGCGCGCGGCCGCGGCATCGGAGGCGCGCGAGCGCGAGAAGGAGGAGCGGCTGGCCAAGCTCCGGGCGCAGGTCAGTGCTATTTTAGCCCGTGTGGACTGGCTGTGGATTCAAAGTTGGAGTGACGTTCCTTGCGGGGTGCGGTAACTGGTTGTTAGTAGGGCTTGTAAGTGATGCTTGCAGCGCGACCGATCTCGACATGGCGGCTGTCCGCTTCGCCAAACGACCAGCGTTGTGGGGCCGAATGGCATCCGAAGTGTCGCGGTCCAAAGCACCAGGTGTTAGAAGAGCACTGACTCAAACGTCTGGCGCTGTTCGGACGAAAGCGTTTGATGAGCGATCATCGAACAATTACAAGGATACTTCGACTCGAAATGTCTGATGCAGACAGAATGCTGAAACCCAAAAGGTGCGCTCTGAGAGCATACAGACCTTCCCGCGCCGAAAAGAAAGAGGAATCTTGTCCAGAGGCCGACTCTGCGACGCTTGGATTGGCATTCGGAGGACATGCCATGCTTGAGCTTGAAAGCTCAGCCATGCTGAATTACGAAACGTCATGGCCAAAGAGATGGCCTCTTCATGGGGAGGCGCCCCTGAATCCAAACCCGCAGAGCTTTCCGAAATCCGCTTCTTTTGAAGCAGGCCCTGTGTGTGCACTTCTCGCCTGATTCTGCCCATCTCTTCCCGCAGGTGGCCGTCCAGGTCGAGGCCGACAAGGCCCGCGTGCTGCAGCCGACTGCCGCCATGCTCGCCGCGGAAGCTGCGGCCAAAGAGTCGGAGCTGTTCCCCGTACACGGCTTCACGACCGAAGAGTTGATGCGGGACAAGCGCTTCCGGGTGAGAAGAGCAGCCTTACTGCCAGAGGTCTGAATCGACAAAATCTTGGGATGGTAAAGGCAGCTACTACTTTCGGTGGCCGCTCGCTATCCAAAAAGCTGTTCTGAGCACTCTCAGTTCTTCGCAACAGCTGCAGTCGCTGGACCGATTGGAATCGTACAACTACCAAGCCTGTTTCTGGAAACAGAAGAGCATCAATTTAGCGTCGCAGTGATGCTCAAAGTTTCTGGCTTTCCATCAGAATGTTCCGGACAGTCTTTGATGCTTCCATGCGGCTATTATGAGTGCGTTCAGTCAGATTGACCCAAAAAAGCAGCCTGGTTCTCCTTCCGTCCACTTGTCGCGTGCCTGGGAACCTTCGCAAAATCGCGTTACAAGAAAGGTCGACGGAGTTCGTCGAAACGGCCCTGGAAAAAAAAAATGCAAAAATGCAAAAATAAAACAAATAAAACGTTTGCCTCTCGTCGTGCAGCTTGGTCTGGTGCTCCGTGAGGCTGGCTTGCACAACACGGCCGCCGGTCGGGACGCTCTCATATCTGCTGCCCCGAAACCGAGGAAGCCAGACACGCTCTCGCAGATCCGTTTCGCTCCCGAGAACCTGCCCCCGTAAGGAAACAAGGTGGCAGACCGTTCTTCAATGGTTTAAGGAGAGATCACTTGTAAAATACTCGCATCTCGGATAGAACTTGACGACTCGCATGAGGTCGGGCCACTGACCAGTACCTCCATATCCGTACCTTCTCGTATCAATATCCGCTTTGCCATGTTCAGTGGGACCGGAACACCGCGGGCCAACGATGTAGTGTCATTTTGTGATTAAGCGGGTAACATGCCAAATAAAAACAGTCCTCGTGACCTAGTCATTCGCTGATAGCACTGCGGTGCATGGCTGGCAATGATCAGTGTACGACGCAGATCACTGAAACATTTGAGTGCGCATGAGCTGCGACCTCCCACTGACTCTACCCCAGTTCAACGGTTGCAGATCCTATAATGAGTCGGCCTATATCATTGGCCCGCTGAGGCCCTTGTCTCGGTTAGCTCCAACCGCGCGCATATACCGGCTAGCTGCTTGCAGAGAATCTTATAAATCAGCTCAACGATGATCAATGATGCAAACCGCCATATCATTGAACATTGTGTTTCATGCTCCTTTTTCTATATCCGCTTATATATATAAGCTAGGTCGGCAGTACGTGGTCCAAATTACCTTGGAGCACTTGAATGTTCCTAGAGTTGCAATAACCATGTTTGCTTCCGATATTGCTGAGTCCCGGCCCTATTATGCAGAAGTCGAAAGCTGCGCGGCCGCACAAGCCAGCTGCAAGAATAATTCGCGATTGTGGCCTAGCTGCCAATTGAAATGGTACAGATTACGTGATTGGAATTACGTATTCATTACGTGCTTGGCTGGCCGATATTGATATGCAACTGGGTGTGATCTTGATTGCAAGGGCGGACTTTTACCGCGTGCAATTCAAATTACCGAACAGATAGACTCGAACTCGAGTCTATCTGTAAGAACCAATGTCTCAAAGCTCACTCGAATGATGCAAATGGGTCAACGACATACTCAGTGCCACTCACAAAGAGTCACCCGTCCACAAGCAACGAGATGAAGAGTGAAGATATGAGGGAAGGGGTAAGCATTTGCAAGACTTGGTCCCTTACTTTGCGAATTCCTAATTCTCAAGATTGATCCAGACTGTGATTTTATCTGGCCAAACACTTGGCTAGCTTGCATGTTGACACCAGAAGTCCGGCTCAACCATTACACATGCTCCTCTCGTTTCCGGAAACACCCTCAGCTGGCCTTGATTATGGGCATGGCACTATATTTACAAAACGCCCTGATCTACTGGGCGTATCTCGCTTCGTTTGCATGACACGATACTCGACTATATCTATCAAAGTACAAGCAGGCACTTCTAAAGCAGCAACGATCAGATGCTCTTCAAATTTCGAAAGGTGAGAACCTATCACGGCGCCCACTCTCGAAACTGTTATCACTTCTACTACCGGGCAATCTCAAGACGTCTCCCGACCGCCCTCCGCCGTGAACCTCAGCACGGAGCGCCCCTCGGGGACCTTCCACCCGAGCTCTTTCTCCGCGCGCGCGGATGTGTACTGGTTGGATATTGACAGCAACGTGGCCAGCAGAGGACCCCAAGCTTGCGCCGCCTCCTCGACGGAGACGCTCACGGGTGGCGGCAATGACACGCGCCGCGCGATGGCTTCCGCAATCTTCTTTGCGGACACGCCGCGGTCGTTCGAGTCGCCCAGATGGAAGATAGCGCCTGCATAAGACAGTATTCTGACTTGGATTTGACAAGCGTTGTCGATTTGTTCGGCTCAAGCACAAAGCCTTGGTTGCTTCGTTCCGTTCCCCTAAACTCTGGGCGGTTCACCGGCACGTGCCCGAGTTTCCTGATTGGATATTCCTAACTAGGATACAGAAGAAGCAAAAAGTTCGTCAGATTGTGGTGAATTATAAACGGCCCACTTGCTCAAGTCTCATAACGCCTCGTCAACTGCTTCGACGAGGTCAAAAAGCACAATGTTTTCTACCAGACTTTGTGTCATCTTTCGCGACCAGGTTAGTAGGTGCAAAGACTCTGACTTGGTGTGAATGGCTTCTCAACGGCCAGAACATACGCCGCCGCTGCGTCGTCCACGTGTACGACGGTCGTCACGTTTGAGCCTGCGGCAAAAATGCGCAGGACGCTGTTTTTAGGATCCGCCTGTCGTTCACTGAGGATCCGCGTGCTGGTTCGTTCGGCCTTCCTACTTTTTGGCTAGTTGCTTTCATCACTTTTCGACCTTAACTTACCCCGCTTTTCACGAGAACACTCGTGCCCTTCAAATAAAATCTATCGGATGGTCTCGAAAAAAGACGCTTCGCTAACAATTGCATTCCGACAAGGTCGTTTCGACCCGATCCAAATAAAAGTTCGGGCCCCTCGACTATTTGCTCGGTCCCTCTAAAATGTTGATGGAGACCTTAACACAAGCACAGTCGCTCCCCCGTCCTACTTCGAAGGCACAAAAGATCACCCAACAAGGTTTTATAGGGACTACTTTCGAGGAGAACTTTCAAGTTAGGACGGCTTTGCAGGCTCAATTCCTCGGGTATCACGTGTCTTTGGCGGCTAACCGTCTCCGATGTAGCGAGCAATCCCGTCCTTCGCTGCTGTGGCGATTTGCATGGGGATGAACGTGATCGGGCTGCTCCTGCCGTACACGTGGAGGGGCAGCCGCATCGCCGCGCTCCGGATCCCACGGCTTGCGGCCTGCCACGTGGCACAACGACCCGACATTCAAAAGAAAATGATCATTTTCAATTTTGAAGGATGAGAGAGTTCGAGATGGCCGTGTATCAGGACAATCCGAATCGTCGCTCTCTTTCCGCAACCAACAGGACTAAACTCAAATTCTCAAAGACCATGCCTGAAAGGCTGTAGAGCAAGTTGCTTACCGAACTCGCGGCGCTTGGTATATTGACGTTAATGTTCGTCCCCTGTTACGAAGGACGAGCAGAGAAAGAGGAGCTGGGGGAGAAGGCCGCCTAAGCTGCGAGCTTCCATCACGTGCTTGAGATAGTCTTTTCTTACGTACCCAGCTCGGCTATCTCTTGTTGAGTTCAAGAGTCCTTTCAGTGTCTTCTCTTTTTTCGAAAACTGTGAGACGAACTGCTCACAGTTATCGCTTAAAGCTTCACTCTTATAAGACCTGTTGCGGTTGAGAGAACTCCAGAAGATACAGATTGGCGCGCAGATTTGAACAAGATTTCGGACCAATGATCGCAGGATTTCGTCAATCTTCGCTCAGGCTGAATTTCGGTGACTTCATCCGGGGACGAACGACTGGGACGGAAAATCGAAGAGAAGAAGACGACTTTTGAAGTCGTAAACTTTGGAGCGTCGAAAGCACGAGAGACGCGGATCTTATGTCCGAATAGAAAGGATTCAACAAAGACCCGATATTTGAAGTAAACTAGACGCGAGAGAACTTCTGTCTGACCCGGGAGCTCACTTGCCAGTGCACGCACAGTTGCTCGGTTGCTGCGCGCGCACCCCCCGGGCCAGGGGGAACCGGCGTCGTCTCGTCCGCAGGTGAATCGCCGGTGTCCCAGAGCACAGCCGTCCCTGTTCCAAACAGGACTGAGCTTTTGACAGTCGGTTTCTGTCTGAGAGCTTGCGGAAGCCCACAACCAAAAAGTCTTAGAAGTGGACCTTTTGAGTCAATCAGATTGCTAAGCACGCCCGTCCCTGTTGAGACACAGGAAAGGGCTTTCGTCATCTGATTGTTCTCTGCGTTATCAGATTACCTGTGGAAAACGCTCTTGCGAATCGAGCCGATCTCAAGACCATTGAGAGGGAACGTCTCGTAAGAAGCGAGGGAGGGCGGTTGTGCATTGGAAGAGATCGGAAGGCGACCTAGTTCTACAGATAAGATAAGGCCGGGGGGGAGAGGTGGACATGACGAAAGAAATGGAAACACAACGCAGACGACCAGACAATGATGAACGCGAGTTCAAGTGAAATTTCGGAATTTCGGACTGGGCCACCGACTTATTGGGTGCAGGAGCATACCCCGAATCTGCATGCATGGACAGGCGCAAAAGAATCCAAGTTCGGACTTCGTCGATCAAAAACGTTACTATCAAAGCAACCGCGAGGCGTCTGCTGTTCGAGTCTCAGCAACCTTGAGTGCAAGTGCTGTCCAACAAGCCCAAAACCAGCGAAAGATTCTAAATTTGGTTCCATAACGCTTTCCATCAAATTGTGAAGAACAACGTTTTCACAAAGTTTCCCATATTATTCTCGAGATCTTGCGTTTTAATCACAAAAGGTAAGAACATCTGTGTATGAAAACGGACTTGAATAAACAACTGAGAATGAAAGCGGACTCGAATAAACAACTGAGAATGACAGTCACCTGAGGTGATCACCAGCGTTTTGTTGCTGCCGGCCAGTGCTCCGATGAAGGTCTCGACCACCTTGCGGTCCGTCTCGACGGATTCGACGTACTTGGTAAAGTCGTGGATGAACGCCAAGTGGAGGACTGCAGGAACAGACACGTGTTCAAAGTCCAAATGATATACTGTGCACCCTTGATCCATTTTGATCTGGAGCAATCAAGGACGTAATACAGGTTCGATCATGATCAACCAAAATTAAAAAGTTTTGCAACTTCCTTTGTCAGGGTCACAGCTCATGAAGTTCTAAGCTCAGTTCCACAGAGACAGCTGAGGAAGACTTTCGAACCCTTCAGTTCCCTGGCTAACCAAACATGATTGTGAAGTCCAGCAGAGTGCAGATTTGACACGCGAAGGAACTTCCCGATCTAGACAGCCAACAACTCATCAGGGTCCGCTCCCCTGGCCACCCCCGAAAGAACAAATCCCCCATCCCGTGCTTCTTGAGCATGTTTCTCGTGTGCTTTTTTCAGCTCATTATACTTATGTCGAGCATTCCACTTCGATGAATGACAAGCCTGTGTATTTTGGACGTCATTCGGACCCGAAATGGTCAAACTTCTTACAAACGTCCATCTTTCTCGGCGCCGTCCATTATGAATAGGACGTCCAAGGGCTGGCAGACACGGATCTTAAGGGCTCCTTCAATGCTCAACACGTGCCCGTCACTAGGATCAAAGTTCCCGGAAGTTGCATGCACTGCAACACTGATCTAGAACACTACTGAACGATCCAGAAGCCTCACCAAGTTGCATCCGCTTTTAGGCCTCCGCCAGGAGGCCTAATAAGAGAAGCCCCTGTTCACGAGCTTTTTCAGTTTTCAGCTCACCATCATACTTACCAGTCCTAAAGACTTTTGATCTTAGCGGAGTCATTGGAGGTGATCTTACACAAAAGACCTTTGGAATGGGTACTTAGGCGCTCCGCAAGCTTACCCCAAAACAAAGTCCGCTGGTTCTCAAGTGTGGCCCTTTGGTTGACTGAGACCGCTTCGACTTGGCCTCACTCACCAGGACGCCAACAACAGTCCGACTTCTGCTCAGAAGCTCATCACTTCTTACAAACCACCAGAATATTCAGCTCCTAAGTTGTCACGACAAAGTTTCTCAGCGTAGTCACAAAAAGAAATGTACTGGCCAATTTTGGAGCACATCCGCGTCCCTCTTCTGGCCTCGTCTCCAGGCACTCCAAAGTTTACAGGTCTCCCCTCGACTTCTCTTAGTGCTCAGCTCATGAGTGGTCATCACAGAAACTTCAGCACAGACGTAAAGAAACAATAAGGCTTTTCGGACAGTCGCGCAGCTCACACGCGTCTGGTTTCTTGGCCTCCTCTGCCAGAACGTTTAAAGCGTACAGGTCCCCCCTCACTTTCTCATATTTCACCGACAGTGCTCAGCATGAATAATCACCACAATGTCTTCAGCACAGACGTAAAAAATAACAAGGTTTTTGGACAATCGCGCAGCTCCCCGCGTCCGCTTTCTTGGCCTCCTCTGCCAGGACGTCCAATGTGTACAGGTCCCCCCTCCCAAATCAATCTCACCAACGATGTCCAGCTCAAGTCGTGAGACATTTCCGTCGGACTACCACTGATGGCCGTGGAAGACGCTCACCTGCGTCCGCCTTTTTTGCCTCGTCAGCTAAAACGTCCAACGTGTACAGGTCCCCCCTCACGGGCTCCACCCCCTGCGCCCGGAGCTTCTCCGCAGCCGCGTCGCTGCGCGCCAAACCCCGCAGCGAATGGCCCGCCTGAAGCGCCAGCTCCGAGACGACGGAGCCAATGTAACCGGAGGCACCGGTGATGAAGATCTTAACCATTGTGTTGGATTATGATGTGTCCAAAATAAACTTGGTTGAGTAAGGCTAGACTTGGGTTATGAAAGCAGTGTCACTGGCTGATTGGGACGTGTGGCAGGATGTGGGCGGAAGCTGTGGCGCACCGGCGAGCGGCTGCTGAGGCTAGCTCTGCAGTTACGCTCGGTATACCTTCTGAGACTGGAGCGAGCTAGCAGGGTGTGCAAGAGACGCCCGGGCTGGAGGTGACATGCGCTCTGATTGTGGGTTGAGGAGCTCAGACAGTGGCGTTAAGTGTGATGCACAGACAACAAGTTGGCTAAGAGAGCGTTTTGAGGACCGCCAGCTTCTGTTTTCAGTGTTTTGCGTGCCACAGCGAGGTCACAGCTAGCAACAACCCGCAAGTACCCAATCCTCCAACCCAAAGCAGTGCAAATCTGGTATGGCCTGCAATCACACGCTCTCAAATTGCCGCCAGCACTGGGCACTAAATGATCTGCAACACGCACTCAATCCGCAGTATCCGACTTGCAGCACCCCATGTGACCAACTTAAAGCGGAAGTTTGAGTTAATTGGGTACGCGACATGCGGAACTGATCGAGTGAGGTTTTCCCAAGCTTCTCAGTCAGATACGTCAGCGAGGCGTGCACCAGCAGTGACGCTGACGCCTGAAAACACTCCATGCATGATGCACTGCTGAGTTCTGGAACGTCTTCCCACATTGGTAAGCTTTGCCTCGGAGGGTCCGACATGACGTCAGAGGATTCTTCGCGCTTCCATTGATGACGCAGGCGGCAGGTACGGATACCGTACATATGCCAGTGATGGCGCACAAACCGCCGGCGAGGTAGTAGGCTACGACCAGGCCGCGGCCCAAGCCGCCCTAGGGCTTGGGATGGAGCTCCAGATGGGAAGGCACTGCACAACATACATACCGTCTGCGGGCTGACAGTGAGAGCCCATGGTTCGCACCAAATGGCAGCTCTGCGTTAGCCGTTAGGTTATGTCAGTCAGGATGTCCCTATGAAGGCAGTAACCCGGGTAGTGATCGGATTCAGTGACGTAGTCGTCTTAAACACCTATCATGACTGACAATGAAAAGCGAAGCTTAACATCATGCATGGCCATATGCGTTCCTGGCAAGGACAGCATAGCTTGCAAATCCAAAAAATCCGGGTACTATAGATTGAAAAGAGGCCCTGGATGCATACGCTATCCTGAATGCATCATTCCCAGGCTCACTGCCCAGAAAACTATATTAGAGCCATTGGACATTGACAGAAACTTCTGAAAAATAAAGTACGTTGCATGGTTACTACGTCTGTCCAAGATGCATGGGTCCGCATGCGTGACTGCACTGCCATCGGATGGAGTGAAGATGACCGCAAACCCCAGCTACTTGATGCCAGCAATGTGTATTGAGTCAGGTTCGTGCCGAATTCCCACTACGTGCGTGCGCTGATCCTATCTGTGACTCAAATCACAGTTGCATCCTGGTCTCCCATGAACATATGTACGTACAACTTCATGTGCTTCGAATTGCGACCCGCTCGTGCTAACAGCCTCTAACTTTGCAGCCTTTCCGCAGTCCTAGCTTTTCTAGTCGCTGGCTAAGCTTGATCCTCGTAACGAAGACCTTCCGCAGCGAAGTCGAAGCTTCCAGTGCCAGGTTAATTGCCTTGTCCGTTAGTTTGGGGCAGTCCTGCAAACGAGCAAATCTACCAGATCAGGAACGGCGGTAGGACATTCAATACAGCCTTGAAATTGCTTGCAGCCAATGAGAGCATAATCGCCGCCTGCCTCGCTTCAGTCGTCTACGAACTCTTCAGATGACGTCCTTATCGTCGCAAACGACCCTTGTTATATGAGTGGCTTTCGCTGAACTGATCTGAGGTTGAATTTCCCAGGATGCCTAGTTGGACGGGCAAAGCTCTAATGGCTGCCTTTCTTCGGAGTTCTCGTTTTCGAAATCGTGCTTCCTACCGAGCGCCTTGCAGAAATCGTAAGGGCACCAGGCAAACCATCTTGGGATGATACGGGAGTTTAGGGGACCAAGTTGAAACAGTAAAAACCAGGGAGGATGCAATATGCCAACAAAGAGAAGGGATGGAAAACGAACCAAACCCTTTGAGAAGCATCTGTTCCTGCGGCCTTTTCAGCACTATCCGGCTCCCATGTCTTGAAATGAAAGACGCTGTCCCCTACCCAGACCCCTCAACCCATTCAAACCCCCGCCACCACCGCTGACTGTAACTCCGGCGAAAACCAACTTGATTACGTACTATTGTGATTGTAACCGGAACGCAACTGACCCGTAACCGTAAGCCTAATCAACGTAACAAGCGTAAACCAAAACCCTGAACCCACCTGTATGTCCAGGACTGCCAGGCCCTTACACCCCACCACCATCGCGAGAAGCCCCTCCCGCTCCAGGTGTCTATTCCCACTGATGTCGACATTCTCCAGGTTCGGACAGCGCTCGGCAAGCGTCCGAAGGGGTCCGGCCTTTAGGGAGCACCCGCTGACGTCAAGCTCACGTAAGCGGTGACAGGGCGGGCCGGGTTCGAGCGTGTCGATATTCGGAATCTGGTATAGCATCAGCTTTTCTAGCTTGGTGCACTTGTCGAGGATCTGTAGGGGGGAAAAGGCTCAGGTTGGCTGCAGTAGGTGTCAGATGCGGGTTTCAATCGTTGACGCAGGTGTCGTTAGAAAACTTCAGCTTGTAGACATGTCCAGCATCTAGACAGACTACAAGTTTGCCAAATTTGTCGGCACAAGCTGTGGGGAAAGTAACGGACGGTTGCGAAGCGACCCGCTCTTTCCGCTGCACTCCTCGAAGGTCTGCAGCTACAACGACCTTACTGACAAAGCATTTTCACGTGCTCGGACCTAACACTTCTCGAGCACTGAAGCATTGGCTTTCTAGGGTGTTGCAGGTGTGCAATGCAAGAAGCCAACCAGCGGGGATGTTTCCCTCCCAGAGCTTGTCAGGCTCTGCTCGGTACAGCAATAGCTTGCTACACGTGTCGAGCATCACAAGCAAGATAAGCAAAGCTTTTCATGCTTCGAGGAATCGGTTGCTTGCACTCAGGAAGGATATGGACGACACTTGAACAGCTGAGCAAGCTGACGCGAGAGTGTCGATGACGCTGGACAAGCATCCTGAGGTTACAAACGAAGGAGGAAGCCAACGCACAAGCAAAAAGCTTCCTGCAGCCGAACACCGACAGCCCGACCACTTGTTCGAACTTTTCAAATCGTCGAGAAGCAGTCAAGCTTCAGAATGCACGAATTACCTAAAAAGAAGAAAATGCATAGGCGAATCTAGGCCAGAAAGAAAGGAAGGAGAGGAGACACGTACGTGCGAGAACCCAAGCCCGCTCGCATCGAAGCAGTCTCCAGCCTCGAGAAACGTGAGCGCCGAGCAGTGAAGCGCGATCGACTGGAGCGACTCATCCTCCATCCACTCGCACTGGGAGACGGCCAGGCTGTGCAGCTTGGGCCACGGAGCGCCTGAAATTGGGTTACATGAGAAAGCTTAGGTTAGAAGAGTCGGTTAAGGTTGACCATAACCTTACAATCGGCGCCTCATCCTCCATCCACTTGAAGTTGGCACTGAAAGGGGGCCAGGCTGTGGACTTGGGCCAAGGAGGACCTGTAATCGGTTTAGATGAGGAAGGTCTCGTTAAAAGGTTCGGTTAAGGTGACCACAATCATGAAAAGGGCGACTGGTCCTCCATCCACTCGCACTAGAAGACGGGCAGGCTATGCAGCTTGGGCCACGAAGCGCCTGGGTTTGAGTTAGAGAAAGGAAGGTCGGGTTAGCCCCGTAATGACGATACAAGCGGGGCACTTTAGTGAGTGGTTCATCGCAAGCGATGGGGGAACCTGTGACAAGGACAACTGAAGCATTTCGGGTTAGTAGATCAGGTAAAATTGAGAATCGTTAGAAAGAAAGGGCGCTTCAACAAGGCAAGGCTGATTGAACAGGTGGAGCTTCTAAAAGGCGTCACATCGGTTGAAATCGATAAGACTCCCGCAACAATATGGAGCAGGGGAAGAAGGCTGTAAAGGTGACGGAACAGAAAGAGATGGAAGGACAAATGGAAAGATGACACCGAAATGAAAGGAAGGGAGACAGTGACGAAGCGAGAAGGATAGAAGACGGGAGACGCATCAAAATTGACAAAGGAGGTGAAGAAACGTTCCGACGTTTAGGCCAGATAGGCAACACTAAGCAGACGGACAGAAGCAGACCACACCGTATGGCCTACCTGATTGGAACGAGTCTCGGCCCGTGTTCCCAACCCCGGCCCCCCGGATAACTAGCTCTTCCATCTGCCCCCCCCGAAATTTCCCCAGCTCTAACAACCCCCTGTCCGTAACCTCGAGACACCCGCTGATTTTGAGCACCTTTAGCGAGATGCAACTAACCGCTAACATGCCCAAACCCAGGTCCTCTAACCCGGTACACTCCATGAGGTTAAGGTGGGTTAGCGTGAACTTGGCGGGCCCTTTGAGGCACATCTTCCAGACGGGAAGGTAGGGCTGCTCCGGCTCCGACTTGCACCGATTCAGGTTAAGCTTAACCAGGGTCTTCGAATGCAAACCCAGTTGCACGAACCACTGCGGGCCCAACATGTTTCCTGACAGGTCCAGCTCGGTTAGCCCCGTGCATTGCTTTAACACTTGACCTAACCCTGCCGACGTCACCTTCTCCCCCACGCTGATGCAAGCGAGGCTGAGCTCCGTCAGTTTCGGGCAGTGCTTCGCGACATTGAGCAAACCAGCGTCGGTCACGTTCTCGCAGAACGACAGGTCCAGCGTGGTTAGAGTTTGCGCGCACTGCCCGGATGCTACCCCGTCCAAACCGTGGTCCGAAAGCTCGCACAGTGCAGAGCAGTCTTTCAGCAGGAGCGTTTGGAGCTGCTTACAAGAATGGGCAATAGATGCGACTGCCGAATCGATATCACCCAAACCTTCCTTGGCACCACCCCCCTTTTTGGCCCCACCCGCACCCCCCGGTTTGCTACTCTCTGCCCCATTTGCTTCCGCGTCAAGTAAGCTGTACCCGAAGCGAAACTCGTTGCCCCAGGAATCGTACTCGCACTCGACCATCAGCCGGTGGCTAAGGAACTCACTGAACGGCGGACCAGACTTGTAATACGCTCCTTCAGAACTACTTTCTCCCCCGCTGTCTTTTCCACCGCTGTCGTTTCCCCCACTGTCGTCGCCGCCGCTTCCTCCGGCTCCGCCGTCTTCTGAACTGACCGATGGTAATTTGACGGTAAACGCGGCGAGGGCGCACGGTTGGACCGCCAAGACTTTGGCTTTGCCGAGGACGTGGGAGAGGTCTAGGAAGCGCAGATTGGGAAGGTACTGGCAAGCGGCAGCAATGCCGTGGAAGGAGAGGCCCTGACACCTGCGAGGGGGGACGAATCCAGGTTTGCCTTTGGATACTTTCCTGGTCGATTAGTACAGCTTTCAGCGGTCAAGCACCCGGCGAAGGGGGTCTGCCTAGCCTGGAGTGCAGGACGAAAACGGAGGCAATGGTTTGGTCCGGAGTAGGTCCGGATTGAGTTGCCGGGCCGTGTCTACTACGAGAATTCTTTGTAATGGCACTTAGACTTGCTACTTATGTCAGGGAAGGTATTGGGAGCTGAGGAGTGTCACTTTCATGCAGGGTTGCCGAAAAGGCACTTTGCATCAAGAAGAATGCCGATTACTTGAGCGACGCGGCATGTCAAGTCAAAAGCCATTTCGTAAGACGTTGTTATGTCTGGCAATGCAGCCTGAGAGCATCAGGAAGAGATTGCACCTTGCTTGCAATCCAGGAATGTACAGATCGACTCACAGGTAAAGTTTGAAAAGTCATCAAGAACAAACTTCCAACGTGCCCATACCTTGGGTTCCAAAGATCGCTGGTCAAGAGTTCTGTCGAGGAAAGAAGTTCAAGGCAAAGACTCACCTCGAAAGGCCGAGCTCGAGGAGACGCGGCCCGCACGCTTGGGCGAGCGCGCTCAGGCCTGCATCCGAGAAGCTGTCCTGCCAGCTCAGGTAGATGGACGTCAGGTTTGGGCACAGGAGGGGTAGTGTCCGCAGGTCTGAGTCGCGTACGAACGGCGCGGAGGAGAGATAGAGGGTGTGGAGGCCAGGGCCAAAGCGACGCAGAACCTGTGCAGGAAATGAGGATGCTGAGGTCCTAAAGCATGACTTGGGGATGCGGGTTGATTTCAGACCTAATCGTCGCCGTTGGCTTCTTCAAACAGGGTTTGAGACGAGGTTGGTGACAAGGGTCCGGAATAATCAGCAGGGCAATGGAATTCCAATTGAGTACAGCTTTGAAAATTGAGTAGTCTGCTGTAAGTTTGGCTCGATTTGGCTTGATTTCCTCTTTCAGCCCAAGTGTTGGTGTGCACATCAGAATGAAATTCGAAGTTGCACTTGCACTCTCTCAATAGTCTGCTTTGCAGTGATGCTCTATTACTCGCGCCCGTCGCCCTTGATAAGTTTTCCCTCCTTCCCTCCGCAGCATCTCTCTGAAACCAACAGGCATTCTTTGAAGGCACGGAATCCTTCGAGCATTGCTGCCAAGTTTCCTTCTTCCAATGAGCACAAAAACATGCAAGGGTCAAGCCTAGGCCAAGTGCTTCACTTCATAACAGGCTTCCTAAATTCTTTCCCATCACCCTGGCATCAAGAGCAGGGTCCGCTTTCACTGACACTGCACTCTCACCTGAGTCATCCTCTGCCCCCCCGCTCTCCTCGTGACATGCAATTTGGTGCAGGCCCCAGCGGCCAGCCTGCGCCACCGCTTAGAGACGAGGGAGAGAGCTTCCCAGTCGCCCTGCCGCTCTAGTTGCTGGAACACGCGCATCAGGACGTCGTCGGGGAGGGCCGCTTCAATGGCGCTCGGACCACTTGGCTCGAATTGGGGCTCTGCAAGGTTGATGTGCGCAACGTTGAAAGGTGGCTAGGATCCTTCACTTGTGCCTTCGATCAAAAGCATCGAGTTTGATGCATAGTGCAATTGCAGGATGGTTTAGTGCACTGACTTTCGTCCTTCAATTCCACAAGATGTTTCTTATGTAGGCATTTTGCAAAATAGAAAGAATGATTCTATTGGAGGTGGCGAGAAGTGTTAAGAAGTACTCGTGGCACTTTTGTGCAATTGGCTGCCCTCATTCAAAACTGTGAGGTCATGCCGAATCTCTGAACAGAGGTTCTCTTTGACTTTTTTCAAGGGAGCACCCCATCCTGACAGCTACACGGGCGAAAACAATGTACACAAGGGAAGCAGTCAAAGGATGTCCCAAAGTTTGCTTGCTCTAGGGCCACCAAACATCAGGGTGATCCAACAAGCACCAGCAAAATCCTGCAACTTATCTGATGATAGAGTGCAAGAAGTCCAGAGGCACTCACCATCTGTCACAAATGTTGCCCTGCGCATGCATTTTCCACTTCTGAGCTCCATTGTTGGCCTGGAATAAAACTGCAGAAGCTGGGAAAGAAGCTTTGCAAACGTTCAACTTCATGCAAGTTCAACCGTAACGTTCAAGACGTGCAAATCCAGCAGCAGAAGTTTTAGGGTTTGAAAGCTGGCTTTTAGGTTGCGCTTTTAGGGTTTCTTTGGCAGGTCTGCGCAGAGGGGAACTGAACGTACCTTGGCAGTTTAGGAGCAGAATTCTAGGCACTTGGTTGGCGCTTTCTGCCGCAACTTTGCATTATCTGCCACAATGTTCCATCCAAGCAGGGGTGGTGTTCGTGGTGGGAAAGACCGTAAGTGTACAGCTCTCCTTTGCTTGTGCGATCGGGAGGTTGTCTTCAATTTGCAGCTGCTCGTCTGTGCAAACCCTGTCACAACGGGGAATGTCTTGATGGACTCGTCTGATGCCTGCTCGTGGTTGCACCTCGCTCGCTCAATTGCTTACTCATTCATTCACTTGATTAATCAGTCCTGGTGGTGCATCGGCTGTTGTCAGAGGGTGTGCTCAGATAGTGTGCTTCTCCTTTTTCCACAGAGTTCAGCTGGGACAATGTGAAGTCCGACAAGGACCGCGAGAACTACTTGGGGCACTCCCTCAAGGCGCCTGTCGGAAGATGGCAGAAAGGTGAGCACTCCTCGCCTGCTGATCGCTTCCGTGCCCATCCAGCGAAGGGCAATTCAGGGGCGTTGGGGATCATCGGATCATCGATACTGGCGCGCTTTGGTATGGTGCTGCATACTCCCTTGAAGGTTCTGGCATGTTCTGCTTGTTCTACGATTCTTTATCAATCGCAACTCAACTCAACCTTGTAGCTCATCTTCACACCATCTTGCGAGGACTATTGGTCAACTGCAGGTCATCCTTGCAAAATCTCTGGCGATCAACGAGAACCTAAAAGTCTGGGGACCACAGAAAAGCTTCCTTGCTATTTTGGGCTCTTTTTGCTCTTTCTCCAGAAAATCCACAGCAATCACAGACCAGTGACCAGCTCTTAACCAATCTTTGACCAGGCAAGGACTTGCTTTGGTACACTCGCGAAAAGGGGGGCACCCCCATGACGGCCGCAGAGATCGACGCCTCCGAAGCGGAGCAGAGGCGAGCGGAGATCCAGCGGGTCAAAGACGAAGAGGAACAATTGATGCGCGAGGCGCTGGGGTTAGCGCCAAAGCGGGCGCAGCGGCCGACGGGTCATATCGACAAGAAGGACGCAGAGCAGCTGTTCAAGCGGGAGAAGGCGCAGGAGGAAGTGCGGGAGGGGGAGCGAGTGCAGGGCCTCGGCTTTGGCCCGTAAGTTGCCGTTTGTAGTCTTGGTGGTTTGCAAGATGCATTTCAAAGTTACAAGCACCACTCGAGAAGGACGAGAAGCTTCTTAGATTTGTTGAGGAAGGGTCTGTGCACCTGTTGAAAAGGGTCTCTATTGCTGCAGCAAATTTTGTAGTTGAGTCGGGTATACGACAGCAGGACCAAAGGACAAGATTCTCGACTTCTTCTCATACCATAGTCCCTATGTCTCGATTGTAAGGGCTCTGTTCTATTCCTGTTCTGCCCCGCTTTTGCCCTGCTCTTGAAAGTTGACCTGCCCTCGCCCTGAAAAACGAAAATCGAAGGCGAACGTTGGCGGATCTGGAAAATGACCTGATGATTTCCTAAAGCAATTAGACATCCTTTGCTTTTCTCTCAACAGGTCAGTGCACGTTGAGGGCGCAGTTCAGGGGGAGCGCCCAGCAGGAACTCTAGAGGGGGAGGAATTGCCAGCGCCAGCTCATCTGGGCCCTGTCGGGACAATCGCCAAGATCGAGGATGCCGCGGGTTCTGACGTCATGCTGCCGCCTCCGCCCCGGGGGCCTCCGTCGGCTGCGGCGCTGAAAGAGCAGCGGAGGGAGGAGCGGAGGCGGAAAAAGGAGGAGAGGCGGGCGGCAAGAAAGGTGTGGAGCACTGTGCTTATGCTGGTTGGGTTCACGTGAATGTTGCTTGTTTTCAAAAGTCTCGATTCATTTGTAGGTCAAGCGTCTGGGCGTGAGTAATTGTTCTCGTGATAGCCCAGCATGCAAATCCGTCTGTCAAGGGCGGGCTGCAAGCGTACTGTGAGCTCGGGACTTTGTTTCGAAAAGGGTTGCCTTGACAGGGGCAACGAGGATGGCAGCCTCGATAACAATAAGAGCTTTGATCCATCTGAATGACCATTGACGAACCTTCTTTTGGAATGAGCAAGTTACGTACAAGCTGGCACACGACTCTTGATGGTGGAGGTTTGCTTTTACGATACTGGGTCGTTCTTTGAGAAGCTTGGAACAAGAGACGCTTTGGTGTTAATAACTTTCCTAATTGGGGTCCAGCATTTCCACAGACAGCCGTACTCCTTTGTTACCCTTTGTCCGAATGGGCCCACCCGTCAAAAACCTCAGTAATCTTTGCATTGGACTACGGAAATGATTAAGATGTCTCGATGTCTACCTCGCTGGCATGCAGGCTCGGAAGGAAGAGCGGAAGCGTCGGAAGGAGGAGCGGAAGCGAAGGCGCGAGCAAGAGACCAGCTCGGAGTCGGACAGCGACGCCAGCCACGACAGTAAGAAGAGGCGGCGCAGATCTCGGAGTATGGGCAGAAGCGAAGGCGACTCAAGCGACCGAGATGAAAACGTAGACACGGAGCGGAGTTTAAGAGTTGAGAACAAAGTAAAACGGGGCGGAGAGAGAGGGGAAGGTTATGCCGAGAAGCCAGGGGACAGGGAGCATGAAGTTGGTCGGAGAGAAAACGGCTTTGGAAGAATTGCCAGTGACCGAGGGACGAGCCCCCGGAAGAGAGGCGCCGAGAGGTCTAAAAACCGTGCAGACGGGCGAAGGGAAAGATCCTTTGCCGAACAAGATGGAAGTGGCGGACGAAATGGTCGCACAGGGGAGACGGAGTCTCGGAGGGACAAGCAGTACAGCGATAAGATGGTATTAGTCGACGACGGAAGATACAGGAATGTGGACGAAGGAACTCGGCACAGGAACGGGGAGAGGAGGTAGCCCGCTGGCTGAAGCTCCTCTATCCTTAAATACCCTCACTTATGCAGGATTGAGTGTAAAGCAAGGCCGCGGTTCCACCCGGCTGCTCATCAGCGGCTGGGCGGCTGGCTGGAGCAGCAGTCGCAATCAATCATTTAGCTTCCGTGATGCAGATGTGCAGGAAACCTCGTTAAGGGCTTTCTTAAGGTGATATTTCAATCATGCTGTCTGAGCGATCCCATATACGTGTTTGCCGAAGTATGAGTCAGCCATGCTGGGTGCAGCTTCACGGCTGCCCCTTTGGATGCCATGTGCCAAACCTGCCTGAAGTCATGCACGGAGTATCAGGTATTCAAGTCCGCCAGGTCAATGTGTGTTAAGGCGGCCGACCTCGATTGACACCCATTCGGCTAATTGATCAATGTGTACATTGAGTGTATCCTGATAGGGTTCGCGCCGGCAGGCTGGCCGCACTGATGCAAATCTAAATGGACTCACAGACTCACGATCGAAGCTGTGTAGGCTGCGACTTCAGTGGACGGTTGCGGTGTGCATCATAGACGGTACCACAGACAGTCCATCATTTTGTATCATATTTGGATGTTAACGATACATATACAATCAATTCGCAAAGATGCCGCGTGCATGCCATGATGACCCGAGCTAGACACGTGTATGCTAGCAGATCGCGGATGGACTCGGGGAGAACTTGGACTTCCAAGCCGACCTTAGATCATGACCTCTCCTATGTTAACTAAATAATTCCCGCGCTACAATCGACGGTCTGGGTGAAGTGAAACCACCAAACTTTGAGTGACCGTAGATATTCAATGCTCGCATGGGGGTTTTATTTGAAGGGGCCGTACCCTTAAGGAATCCACCGAGAGTCCTTGTTCTCCTTCCATCCGTTCTGAGAGGTTGCCGTCAATGCCGTGTACGCATATTATGAATATATACTTAAATCCGCCATGCATAGCCTGCGCTGCGCTCAGTCGCGAGCCGCACTGATAGTCTGCGGTTCATTCGGACTGACGGTGCCAGATCACACTAACACATTTGAAAATGAGATCATGAATTGCATGCCAGGGTCCGCAGGCTTACATGAAGTCGAGCTTGTCGGAGGCGGTCACTCACTAGATTTTGTATTATGAGACAGGTATGAGACAATTGTCAAGAATGTTCCAAAAAGAGTTGCGCAAGGTTGACTCGACTATCTCTACATGGCCATCATCTACATCTCAACGATTTCCTGCGCATATGACCCTAGGAGTAGATCCGACCAGATTTCCTTGTCTACTCAGCAAGTGGTTTGAGTGCTAATCGGCGGACGCTGAACATCGTGACGAATCATGATCATGGTGATGAGATAAAGCCCAGGAAATGTGGTCACAAGAGGAGTCACTCCACACAACGAACTTCTACTTCAACTACGAGGCTGTCATGGGCTCGAGCCAATGGCTCACTGACCAATTGGTGTAAGCTGTAGCCCCAGGACTTCCATGAAAATCGTTTGGTCACCTCCGCACCAGCGGGGTACACTTGTTGCTTAAGAGAACCCCTCAGAGCTTCGTCACCACTTAAAAGCAGGCCCATCGTCATGCAGACCTTTCACTTCTTTCAGGTCTTGCACTTTGGAATAACTCTCTGGAGGAAGAGTTGCTTGCAAGGCAACGTACTTATCCATCACTTGCACTGCCCACCACCGCCCCGGAGGCCCTGAAAAAGTGTACTTCAATTCCTGCTTGCCTAGCTTTTCCATTACGGACACGAAAATGCACTGTGCTTTGAATCCCTTGGAGTCTGAATCGCTCTTTACACACACCCCTGGGATCAGAGCCTCGAGACCCTTTACTAAACCTCGGAGATTCCAGTATCGCGCTTGCGCCAGCAACGGCACATCCTTTTCTGCGGGAACAGCCCCGGTTGCTAGGTACTCCACAATTGCAGCCCACCGGTCCGGGTGACACGTGATAAGGGCCCGTCCTTTTTCATCTCGTGCATAGTTCCACTCTCCACAGTACATCTTGTACAGGAGCGAATCCGGATCAGACGCTAGCACGCTGCGTGGAACAGAGCCCTCTTGTCCGTTTGCTGCAAGCACGTAATGTAGCCTCTCCCGCTCAATCTCATATTGCGCACCCGCTTCGCGGCTGCTCTGTAGAGCATCCTGTAGGACCGACAGTTCGCGCTTGCTTTCCCTCTCCTTGTCTGACATTTCCTTCTGCAGTGCAGAGAGCTTGGATAGGAGTACCTCATTTCTGGACTCCCGCTCCGTCACCTTGGCCTCCACTTTTGCAAGCTCCTCCCGCAGGGCCACAATCTGCGCTTGAAGGGCGCCACCCTTCAAGCTGGCTTCCATCTCGGCCGCCTCTGGCTCCATGGCCCGCCCCAACTCCAGAGTGGTATCATCATCTAGGCCAGCTTTCGTGGCCTCGGTTGATTTCCTTTCCTTGCGAGAACCGGACGTCGAGGCAAGGCCATCATCCATGTCAACCAACGATCTCTTGAGAGCATTTGAGCTGGCCATCTGCAGTCACGGCACCAGACAATTTGAAGATGAAATCAGCCTTCCAGAGATATGTATCTTTCAGCTAAATTTCTGGACTTCTCCTGAGTGCTCGATTTTGAACATAACTTCAAGAGATGTCTTTTGATGGACAAACTAACGACGAACAAACACCAACAGAATTAAGGATTTTAAGCTACCCTTTGTCTGACTGATGAGTAAGTGGTCGCTCTGAGTGGCCCTGTCAGTCCGAAAAAATAAACAAACAGACAAAGAAACAGACAAACAAACAAACAAACGAACAAACAAACACGCCGCCACCACTGTTTGCAAGCCGCTACTTCTTGATCAATACATGGGGATACTTGCCACTAATAAGGCTACATGTTGGCATAACAATCTTAAGAAACTTTGCATTGAAAATTAGCGCTCGGTCCTGGAAGAGGTTTGGGTCATGATCGATGCAGTACTTCAGATTGAGTAGAAAAGACAATAAAGCACTTTTTGAAGGCTCAGCTTAGAATTCGATCATGCCTACCTTGCGGAAAGCCCTTGTATCCCCCTTCCCTCCTCTACTCAAAACCCTCCTCCCAAGCGGCCTCGCTATTTTAAACTGACAAGCTGCTCACGAACACTGACAGGTGCTCACATCTCTCTCGCACTGCCATTGCCAGTGCAAGCCACCCTAGTCTGCAGCTCGTCTGCAGTCAGAAAACCTGTTGATTTTTGAGGGAGGGCTTGGGCTGGCAGTGGCTGTGCTGCGCCTGCATGAAAAAGAAGCGGCACGCGCGCCTTTTCAAAACGAAGTTCTGCTTACTCATTTCAGGTCCCTAATATGAGTCATATTATGACGATATGGTACAGACATTTCACCAGATTCTTGACTATTATCGAATAGGCTTAGGTGCGATAATAGTGGTGAATACTTCGATAAGACTCTTCGAATAATATTTAGGACTGTGCGTAGTCCGCAGATATAGAGTATAAATAGCTCATGGCGGAGTTGGAAGTTCCTCATTCCAACTCGCCACTTTAGAAAACTAGCAGAGTCTTGCTTGTAATACCGTACTGCTATTTGATTTCGGCACCTTCGACGCCAAAAAGTTAATTATGAAACTTTTTATCCTTTCGGCAGACCTAGTGTTACCAGCTAAAAAACACCGTTATCGACCATTATCGCTCCAGAATATTTTCCAGCGAAATTCGGCAGGGCACATAATTATTTATTTTTTGCCGAAATTACGTAGCAGTACGGTAGTATGGGCGCCTCTCCTCAGCCGCCCTTACCAACGTGCCCAGCCAGTCCTGTGTGCTGCCCAAGAGTCACCCCCTCGCGGACAGTGCCACTTCGTCATCCCCTGCTGTACGCGAGCCCGCGCGCGCGCGGAAGGAGTTTCGCGCGGCGGCCGGCGACCGAGAAGATAGTTTGGGTGGCGTTCAGGCGTCGACGGCGACGATGAAGACCACCAGTAGTTAGAGTCGTAGA